CGTTTGCCTTACCTCAGCGAACGGATCCGCGCGGGGGCGGGCTGCGCGCGGCACCGCGCGGAAATCCAGCTCCCACACGTACGGAAACGTGCTTGGGGTGGGCCCCTCCGCGCGCTCTGCGCGAGTGGGCAGCCAGGCCGCGGGTCAGGGCTGAAGTTTCTAGCAAATGGAATGATCCAACTTTAACTTGTCAAGTTGGACTTTGGGGCAGGAAAGCAAAGGTGCGTGCTGTGGTGCCAAGTGTGGAAGAGCCCTTTAGCTTGCTTAAATAAATGGGCACAAGTCATCTCTTGTAGAACTTGGTTTGTTGGATTTCTGTCGAGGGAGGCTGTGCCCCTTATGTTTGCGCCCATAAAATCATTTTCTCAGGCCGGCTGGGAGGGCGGAGGGCTGACGTTCCGCTTGGAAAGAGCCCGAGGGAGAGCGGGGGTGCCGGCATCGATTACTCGCTGGCGAGCCGGGGAAGGACTTTAGGAATCACTGAGAGCACAAACATTTACCGTATGTGGAGCTCCTGATTTCAGCCTGACTTTTGTGCCGCAGGTGAGGATGCGATGACAGGGGACACAGACAAGTACCTTGGACCACAGGACCTAAAAGAGCTGGGCGATGACTCCTTGCCGGCCGAAGGATACATGGGCTTCAGCCTCGGAGCCCGCTCCGCCAGGTATCGTATTTGCTGCCTCTCGCGGCCCTGTGCCACCGCCGTTGCAAACTTCTACAAACCAAGTGCATTATTTCACCCAAAGCTGGAGTCTACTTTGAAATGAAGTAGAGGGGGTGGACTTCCGTGTCAGGGTAATACTGCGTGTTTGAAGCATATGCTCATTGCTATTTTGTTTCATATTCTTTATTCATGTTGGCTTCTTATGGCAGTGATTCAGAAAATTAGCTACTCATTTTTTCTGGTGTCTGCTCATGCTTTGGACGTCTCAAAGGAACCTCTTGGCTAGCAGTTTGCAACCTCTCTAAAAATTAACCTAGAACAGCTAGCAAAAGCAAGCTCCTTCTCACTACTGCCCGTCAAACTGATGCTCATGTTTGAGTATTCCTCACCGGCCTAATCTAGCAAAAGAGTATGAAACCAGAAAAACTGAATGGCAATCATTTGGCTATTCTAGTGCTTTGATTTCTTTAGAGGTTGCCAGTGAATAAGCAAACAGAGAGCCAATGTTAAAGAACAAAACACAAAAATAAGAAAGCAGTAAAAGAAAACGTACCTTAAACTGGCTGTAGGATTTCATTTGATACGAAACAGATTGCATGCTACAATAAAAATAGGCCAAAGTTTCTATAAACCCGATATAACACTGTAGATCTAGTGTAATGTCTGACTGCAGTTGATTTCAACTCGCGTTTCTAGATCAGCGTTTTAGATTTTTTTAATATTGCTAAAGCCTGCTCTGTGCATTGCTCAAAACAAGCAAAGCTGTATGAGCAGAGATTACTTCCACAGTTGTGGATCTGCAATGTGTTTACTGACAGCCAAATTGCACTGAAGCTAATAATTAAACCTCATAAGCCAGAGCCCTGAGGACTTTTTCCTACACGGTAGTTTAAAGATCTGTTTTAAAAAGTGATTTTATTGTCTAACTGTGATTGGCAACTCCCATAAGGTAAAGCTTAGATGTCTACCCTCCAATCCTGTTTGTTATGGCTCCTTTAGAAACGCAAGCATGCAGTGTAAATTTGCTTTTTAGCGTTGCCCAGCCATGTTTTGCTTCACTTACAATTCCTAGGTAAGTTAATAAGTATTTACATGATAATACATGTAGGAGGAATGCCAAAGCACTCTTAAAATAGACCATTAGCTGTGAATTCAGCAAAAGGTTTCCAAAGGGAGAAATCTTACACCTTTGAGGCTAACAGTCACTTTTTGCTCAGTGGCTGAGGCCGCCCTGCCGTGCCCCGAGTTTTTTTTCTGCTCCTGCAGGGCACTTCCTGCACACGGCAGGGGCAGAGCAGGATTGCACAGTCCAGGTCTGATAGGTGGATCTGAGGGTTCGGCTTCATGTTTTCTTTTCTTTGAGAGGAATCTAGTGTTCCCATGCTTCGGACTTTAGCAGTGCCATTACTATTTGTTGCTGCCTAGCTCATTTTTACATTGCATATATGTTATGCTCAGAGGAGAGAAATACAGTGTTTTTCATGGAAAGTATTGCATTTAGCAAAAAGTATTCGATGAATGTTTCTTACTACTGATTCTGAGTGTAACATTAAGAAATAAGCGCATTAAATATGTAAATCATCCAGCCATAACATCTTGCTTTTCCCGTCTGATTCTTTGCTTTCTATTTCTCCTGTTTCTTTTCCACTGTAAATTGCTTTAGTCCAAAAGTCAGGTAAGAAGGCATGGCATCGTGTTACATCTTTCTGCTGCTGCCATCGCTCATCTTCATTTTATTCAGCATTGGAAAATGACATGCTTTTTAATTTTATTTATTTGTTTATTTGTGGTTGAGGTTTGCTCAGCATTAGAGAATATTTCTCTGTGGTTATAACAAATATAACTGGATTTTTTTATACCCTTTATTGTGTAGGAGTCTGATTAACATTTGTCTACAGTATGCAATAAAGACCCAATTCTGCTTCTAGCACACGGAGGAACGTGTGCTAAGGGACTAGAAAAGATGTTTTGACAACTACAAAGTGCATGAAGCAAGTTGTAGAGTTTTGAGACTGGAAAATGTTAGTAGTTTAAAAGTGTAATAGTTTGTTGAATGTTGCTTTTTATTAATGCACTTTTTTACGACTTTATTTTTCGTCACGTAGCAAGCATGTCTAGGCCTGCAGCATGTTTTTAGCACATACCATAATGTATCTTCCAGGGTTAAGTGTAACACACACTCCTACTTTGATTAAATTGCAACACATTTGGCACGATCGTAGAGTCTAACATCCGCAAAATAATTCCCCAAAGCACTGGAATCTGTATTTAATCATTAAGAGGGAAATTTCTTTTCTTTCCTCTTCTACTTCAGAGTTGTTACCCTCCTGTTCTGCCTAGGAGTAAGTGAATAACTAGGGTGCTTATAACAAAGTTGAAAGTGGTTCAGCCACAAAGAGAGAATGACAACAGAAAACTCGCTCTTTCTGAAACCTGACTCAGCGATCTGAGCCATATGGGCAGACTCTAACCTACCCACAGCTCCACCAGGACCTGCCCTCATGGCTTTTCTTTCAGGATCAAGGCTTGTAGACATTTATCAGAGTTCACCTAAATATTTGAATACACTCTTCTGCTTTTATTCTAAAGCCACAGCATTACTGCTGAAGCAGTAAGCATTCATTGATTGTTGTTTATGCATAAGACCGGGAGGGGGATATAGCAAAGTATTTATTATTCCATTTTTGCCCTTCCCTTATATTTATCTCATAGACGATGTATGTTTTGCCATCTTATGCTATGCCCTGGAAGTTGCATGTATTAATTTTTTTATTTTTATTTTTTGTTCATCTCATTGTCATCTGCACTTTCTGTGATAAATGGTAAATACAACAGCCTGCGCTCCTTCAGTTCGGATAGGTCCTACACGCTGAACAGAAGCTCCTACGCGCGAGACAGCATGATGATCGAGGAGCTGCTGGTCCCGGCCAAGGAGCAGGTACGTGCGGCCCTGCCAGAGCGCGGAGCAGCGTCGGGCTGCCTTTCAGTAGGGGACAATGTGCTGCAGCCCTCAGCCGTGCTTGCAGGGACTGCTGCTGCTCTGCTAACTGATGAAGGGGGAGAAGAGGAGAGCTGGAAGTAAGAAATGATGGATTCACAATGTTGTGATCTTGATCTTGCAAGAAGCGCGGTAGTCTGGTCTCAATACAAAGAATCTTTAAGCACCTGATTACATTTCTGAACACAGAACTCTGCTTTGAAGTCAGTGGGAGTATCTGTGAGCTTCATGTTAAATATTAGAGTTCTTTGCTGAGCTGGGACTGAAGTGTTTTACGCTAAGCAACCTTTGTGTGTAGTGTGTGGACTATGACTGCATTCGCCCATTCTGTCTACGTGTAGGACTCCAACTCTGTTTTTATTTTTTCACCCTGGGGAAGAATTTGGCCTTGTAAAGATTATGCTATTGTGCACTAACCAGTTATGTATCTTCCAAATGTTTGTGCAATGACTAATACAAGAAAAGCAGAATCTTTTGCCCTGATTATAGCGTGGGAAAGTCATTCTAAAAGTGAATGCTGGTGGTGGTAGGGTGCTGGGTTTTTTTTTTGAGAGAGAGAGAGAGAGAGTTCCCTCAGTGTTTAGTTGGTAGACTTGTTTCGGACTTTCAAATCTAATTTGATTTCTAAAAGAAGAGTTTTTTAATACACATAAACCAGAGATCTGCTGGGAAGCTGAATTAAAAAAATCCACATAAAAGTCTTAACTTGCGAATTAAAGGGCAGCAGAGTGGTGCTGTCATGTTCCTGTCCTGAAAGACCATAAGATGGGCCATGGTGAAGCTGAAGTTTTCTGCTGTTCTTTTTGCTGAGGTATGTTTCAGCAGTGGCAAGGATGCCTGCACAGGGAATTACTGTCCTCAGAAAAGGTTTTTATTGGGGAAAAAGTTCAGAGTATTTTTACAGAGCTTTTAGTTCACTCTAGCATTTAAAACCTTAATTGTAGCACTCCGTAAGTTCAAATGTAGTAATTTGTTGTTTCTTTCCCTTTTAAGTCAGAAAATAAAAGCTGCCACTATTGGCACGAGGAACAAGAGATGATATTTTAGGGCTGAGAACTTCCAGTCACTCTCATACTTCTTACCCTTAAACCTTCAGAGAGTCTTCCTGAATTGATGGGAATTTCAGATGTGAGGAAGGCTCTCCAGCCTGAGAATACATTATGTTTATATGGTGATTCTGGTCATTTTTGTGATTACCATCAAAATAGATGGAGTTCATTTAGCAGCTAGGGAGTGTTTGAAGCAAGCACAGAGCTTGTTTTAAGTCTTGTTAAATAACTGCTGAAGGACATTGGTCAAATTGTACATCATTAACCTGCTTTGTATTACAAAATCTCACTAGGAAATAAAAAGGGCAGTGTGGGGTTATCATCCAACTCTGAAATGAGCCATCTGCATATTCAGTTTCTTAGACCAGTATACATCTTATAGCAGTAGCAACGTCTGAGATTAAGGGGAATTAATTAAGTATGCTTATATATGCTTATTAGTTAAGTATGCTTATAAAAGTATTTAAAAGAGAAGGGGCAGCTGGCAACCTCTTGGCCAGGTGGACTTAGAAGATCTTGTGACCATCTCTTCCCATGTTCTCTGAGGAGCAACTTGGAAATCCAGGCAGGGTGCAGCGAGGAAGGTTTGCAAGCGGTCCCTGCTGCACGCAGGGCCCTCGCGGGCAGCCTGGTGCTGCGTGCGGAGCGCTGCCCTCCGTGCTGCTCGCGCTCGGCGCTTCCTGCTCACCCTGCCTGCCCGGGGGGACAGGGGGTGCAGGCCTTGGAGCACAGCGAAAATGTCCGTGGCCCTGTGTGTTACCATGGAGGCAACAGTTCCGGCCAAATCTGAGCGACTTCCTCTGTGGAATAATTTGCATCAGCCTCCGAGTTTACATCAGCCACAGGCAGGATGAATCAGGCTGTCCGTTACCTAGCAGCTTGGTGAATCTCTTCTGTCCGGATAAATCCTTCTGGGAGAAAGCATAAATCTGATATTATACAGCCTGGCTGCTTAGTTATGCAACCAGCAGCCTCCTCACCAGCAGAAATGTCAGAATTTTTATTCTGTGTTTGCATCAAACCACACCCACCCCGGAGCACTTTCAGTAACAGAATTGTGCACATTTAATCGCCCTCAGCCCAGGTAGGGAATGCTGTGGCTTGAGCAAGCACAGGCCAGGTCTTCTGGATTCTCAGACTGCAGCTTGCCCAGGAAGATTTCTTTGCCTGCCTGGAAAATCCAGCACTTCAGCAGATCAACAAAATGAGGTCAACAGATGTCTGCTGCTTGTGAGATCTTGGGTCTAGCTATTAACTTTTAGTAGTCTGCTCCTCTTCCAAGATTACTGGATACAGGCTTTGTGCTTTTGCTGGCTGAAAATGTCTCCGAGGGCTCTGTGCTTTGCCAGAAAGGAGCACGTCAAAAGTGTGCTCCTGTGCCAGGGCAGCCCAGGTGGGCCAGGGCAGCCCGGGTGGGCCAGGGCAGCCCGGGTGTACGTGCACGCGGCTGCGCTGCAGGCACGTGCTAGTGTCACTGTCTCGTGGAGGTGGGTTTAGAAAGATACTGTTTGCCATGAAATTGTGTGTCTGGGGGCTGAGCTTTCTGTCACATGCTGTTGAGCTTTAGCGTTTCTCATCTGTTGTGGCAAATGTGATCCCACATTTGTCTGTCGACATAGATGCCCTGGTGCATGCCCAGACCTCAGTGCAGTGATGCTGTTGTGGCTCAGCAGGCATTTCAATGACAAACACTGAGTCGCATTATCCCCCTTTTTGTGTTTCTTAAAAAAGAAATCTTTGTAGAGATCGTCATCACTGGGAAATGGTATGAACTCAGCTATTTTTTATTTATCTGCATTTTTTGCAACTTCAGAGACCAGCTATCTGGATCTTGCAGGGATTGGTATTTATAGTTATGTGCTCAGTGGGAGCTCTTACAAAGTTCAATCGCTTGGAATAACTGAAATGCACAGAGTTGGCTTTTCTGCATAAACTGTGGGCTCCTCCTGAAATGTGGAAGAATCCCTAGTGTTCTATTGGAAAGAGGTAGAAAATGGTCTTCATTAAACTAAATTATGATACATTTTTCAAAACGATGCTAATTAAACCCACTGCTGTCGCTTAATTGCCATTGTTTTTAATGGCATTCATTTTATCTTTTATGTCTGATGCCCTGATGCATCTTCTGGTACTTAGCACAACATCCTTTAGCAGCAGCACCCTTGCCTGTTACTGCTCTGCCTTGGTTATGGGTCTTACGACACAGTAACGTGCCAGGCGGACGACCCTAATAAAACACGTAAGGTAGCAAAAGGAGGCAGCCAAGGCCACGTGCCACGGAGGTTTGCACAGATCACAGAGCAAATACCCTGCAGATATTTTTATTGATCAACGTTAAGTGATAATATTGATGGATTTTGGCAAAGCAAAATCAGAACGTGCATTTGAAATGCAAGAAATGCCTATAAAACAAAGATTTGGAACCCAGTAAGCAATAGGAAGGGTGCAAGTTCTAGCCAGCAGTGGAGCATGATCTGGTTTAGCTTCGGGATACTCCTTGACAGAAGGACTTTGGTGTGTTTATGATTGGTTTTGTCATATTTGTAGCTAGTGCTGATATTTCTATTCAAAATAATTAATTTACAGTACCTTTAGATGCCCGTATATAAAACAATAGGTGGGAATCATAACATTTCCATGTGCAGAAATGTGTGTTTGACTCAGGTTTGACTGCAACCCTAGAATATAATTAGAAAATAGCTCGTAAGGTCTTTTCTATGTATGAGGAAAAAAATCCAGATAACTCTGCCTGCACTGTCCAGTCATATTTGCCTTCTGGGAGAAGGCAATAACTTCCTTATGGGAGACACTGGCATCTTTAATACCATCCCAGGTGAATATGGCCAGTGCATTGCATGGCAGCATCTTCAGTTTTATTGATGTAACTTCAGGCTTAGAAACTTTCATATCACCCTGCAAATTCAGGCAACCAGTGTTTGAGGATGTAATCTGCTTGATTTCCTAGGAAGAAAGGAACAGAGAAAGAAAGAAGAAAAGAGCATGTGGCTAACATGACTTCTCTGTCACAGATCAAGAGAATTTATAGCATCAAAACCTGAGCTGGGCACGGGGTGTCTGTGAGTGCAACACCACGACAAGAAGCAAATCACTTGTCACTGAGTGTCGAGCAGTGCAGCTGATTATAGCACCAGGATGGCAGTGCTTCCCAGGGCGAAAACTATTTTTGTGTGGATGAGTAGGGAGGGCAGCACTCCAGACGGGGAGCGCTCGTGGTGGGCGCACTTGTCGTGCGGACTCATTACCCCCTCCTGCCGCCACGAGCCTGCTCGTGCGGTCACAGCTTCGGCTGTGAAGCTGCTAATGAAGTTATTCCCGGGTTGTGCTTGAGGAAGGAGCTGTCAATGGGATTATCTGTGCGGGGCTGCTCCATGCCTGTCGCAGCGGGTAGGACTGCAGTGCAAAGGGAAAGCGCTTTAGCATTTTTTCAAACTTGCATATGCAAATGGAGACTGGAGAGACGGAGTTGTAGCTGCAGAAAACAGCAAAAGGCAGTTTTGGACTTTGTGTGTGGAATCCAAATTTGTGTTACGGGCTTTCCAGTAATTTAACATCTGTGATATCCGTAGTGTTAAAGAGAAGAGGGCCATATGTAAATTTAATAGAGTTTTGTTAACAAGCATGCCTTTAAGACCAGTGTTTTTCATGCTGATTTTAAATTTTAATCTTTTTGTTTTTAAAGCACCTGACGTTTCCAAGGGAGTTTGATTCTGATTCTCTCAGACACTATAGCTGGGCTGCTGACACCTTGGACAATGTTAACCTGGTCTCAAGTCCCATCCATTCTGGGTAGGTCGTTTAACAGATTTCCTTTTCTTTAAATGTGCAAGTGTTTTGTTAGCAGGAGAATGCAGCCTGCTGAAATGGCTGGTAACATGCCTATTCCTGCTCCACTTGAAGCCAGTGGCAAAATTCAGGCTGACTTCAATGAGGGTGCTTAATAACAGCATTCAGGCTAAATTCTTGCATATCAAACCAAAACTTGCTTCTGTACTTAAGTTCTGAATGCCAAAAAACTGTAGTCCAACAGGTTTTCTGCTAATAGTCCTGTTTTTCTGTTGCTTGCGCTTCACTTTCATGCCTCGTAAGGTGATTTTAATTGAACTGCCTTAAATAGTTTGGAATTTAAAATCAAAGATACAGTGTTACCCTTTCTGTTCTTTCAGCTAGGAGAATGGGGGACTTTAACTGCCTCTTTTACCTCCAAAACTCCTGCCTGACCTCCAGAATCTGTATTTTGACCTTCGTTGTGCTACTCACTCATTTGCAAGGCCTCACTGTAGTTGCAGTGCTTCTTGGCAGTGCCACTTGAAGTTGATTTAAATGCAATTGCAATAGTGTTTGAATACATTTTGTAAAGATTTACAAACAAATGTGTAACTGAAAAGAATTGTTGCATATGAGATTGTCTAGTATAAATCTTTATTGTATAACTTTCAACAAGGGCAGGACATAACATTTCATATCCCTTTTATTTTACATCCCCGTTTTGTGGCTGGTCACATTCTCGTAACGCGAAGGAGACTAGCAAAAACCAAAGCATAATACCAAGCGCCACCAGTCTAAAACTACAGGCCCACAATAAACTTCACAGCTGCTTCAGCTGACGAGCTCTAAAGCAGTGGATTTTTTGGTCCTGATCCAATAAAATGCTACATACAGGCAATGTTAAAGCTGAAAGAGGTCAAGAGGTTCAGCATGAAAAGCTGACGTCTGTTTTTAACTAGAGAAAGGTGGGTAGGCCAAGGATCTCAGAGAGCAAGTAGCTGCTGCTTTTGCATGAGGGCAGGGTAATATGCAGCCAAGCCATTCCTGGAATATGTTTAACTTACTCTTAGTCACTTACAATAAAGGATATTTTATAGTCCCTCAGCTTCAGCAGGTCACTGTCCTTTGTTACAGTGTTGTTTCCCCTGATACTGAACTTTAGATTTCTTTGCTGCAAATTAAGCCTATTTCTTTCCCTCCCCCGCATAGTCATGGAGAACATCTTACTAATTTAGCAAGAACTTTTTATATATTGGAAGATATTTTTCCTTCTCTTTTAGAGATTCAAATAATTCCAGGTTCTCCACGCTTACCTCCTAGGTCACGTTTTCCCCAAATCTCACCTTATTCTTGCTGATGTCTCCTGACTCTCCCCTGTTCAACAATAGCTTATTTCTAAGCCAATTTGGGCACCAAAGTACCGAAGAGATGTCACCAGTGCTGGACAAGACAGAATCATTATCTTTGCTGACCCACATGACCTAATCGTAAGAAATCCTCCAAATGAGAATCAGCATTTTGGGAATAGCGGGTTCCGTTTGACCACACGAGCAGCACCCCACCAGCAGGTAGAGCTTTCCTGCTCTGCACCCATGTTGCCTTTTTCTACTTCTTGTTTTTCTGAGCCCAAGAAAATAAATTAATATGTAACATTAATGTGTAAAATGCTCCCTCCCACAATGAGAAACTCAGATTACTGCCTGAGTCTTGCAAGGTGGCATGCTTCAGGTTAATCATAGCTTACTCCAACATCCTACACACATGCAAGAACTCTTTTTTTAAAGCAGCGTAAGGAATGACATAAGGACTTGATATTCTTCTCAAATGTCCTACCATACATCTCTTTGTATGTTATGTTTTGGCAAACAAACTGCTGTATAAAAGCACAAGAACTGATTTTCCATGACACAGGGGAGCAAGTTTCTGGAATTAAACCAACTCAAAGAAGCTCTGTTAGCATAATTTCTCTGCTGACCTAGGTAAATTACAGATGTTTTCTCCATTTCTCCAGCATACTATGGACTTGTGTTGATTAACTAAATGAGCACTTTCTTTAGGATTTTTTTTCCATGTGTAGCATATTTTATATGACAAAGCTCATGATATGTGAAGCAAAAGACAAATCATTGCTGAAGTTGGTCTTCAAATGGGTTGCTTTTGTTATTTTTCTGATTGTTACTTTTCCTTTGCGCTTATTATTGGTATTTTCTGTTGCCTGCTTCTAATTATCTTATATTAATTTTTCCCATTTGCTTTCTAAATTATTTTGCAGCTATTCCTCTCCACTTCCCCAGTATGATTCAAGGTGATAACTCTGTGCTTTCTGTGAATCCTCATTTTGCTTCTTTTCTTTCTTCTTTTTTTTGACTCTTATCCCACACAGAGTGTGTGTAGATGTTTGTAGTGCATCCGCCCACATCCTCATCCTTCTCATATATTCCAGTAGAAATGCTCACTGGCATTTAGCATTGTGTTTTAGAAATCATACTGTAGTATCCATTATTAGCAAAGTATTAATTTAGGTAAGCACCAGCTACTAATCCATTTTATTGAAAGTGCATGAAATACTGTTTGAAATTATTGTTATTGTTTTAAATGGTAGGCTACTAATTCGAATACTAAACGGATAAATAATTAATCCCATTGACAAGGCTACCTTTATGTGGTAGCATTGCACCCAGAGGTTGGTCTGCCAGGGTTTTGCCTCCGTTGAGGGCTGCAGTGTGGCGCGACGTGCCGAGCTGGCTGCAGAGGCTGGTTCCAGTGGCGGGGAGGTGGTTCAACCCCAGGGCTGATCCGCCCTTGCCCGGGGCAGCGGGAGCAGCGCGCGAGCCCCGCGTTGCCGTTGCCGAGGGGGCGGCTGTCAGCGCCGCTGCGGAGCCCAGCTCGGCCGTCGCTGTGTGACCTTGCAGCCTGCGGGACAAACACACCTGGGAGCTCCCAGAGGGGCTTGTAGGGACGGAGCTTCTCGCTGCCACCCATCTTTGTGTTCATACAGGTCAAGCGATTTAGGTGTCTTTTGAAAAGCTCCTCTTTCACATTTTTGTCAATAAAGTCTGGATTCTTCTGACCATGTGGAGTTGCCCCGGATTCCTCTGCTGATATAGCACATATTGCTGGGTGAAAGCTTTGGCTTTTCCATTTTTGCAAGAAATTAAAAACTTTTGTTGATTATGAGCTGGCTTAGCATGTGAGTAATCACACAGATGATATTTAGCTCCCCAAATGAGGATCACTGATACCTAGGCGTCAAAGGCATGTTCCAGCTGGCCACCTCTCTGTCTTACATACTTCTGCATACTGTGCAGTTTGAGTTGTTCTTGTCTTCTCTGCAGGCCAAAATTATGGGCATTTTCAATAGACCATCAAGAAACAGCTATGACATTCCTTTCAGTATTTTCCCCTTCTGTGACCTAGGCCTGTAATTCCCTGCTTAACATTTTACTTTGCTTTATAGTAAATATTTTGCCCTTCACAGCAGCAGGTTGGGAGCTGACTCCTTGCCAGCCCTAAGGAGTACACCCATGGTTGGCCTCTCCTTCCATGTGCCCAGTGGCATCTGCCTCTTTCCATCAGGGTTCACCATCTACCACATAGAGTGATTGCAGGGAGGTAAAACAACATGAACATGCTGACAGTAGCATAAACATGCTGGGTAGTGCTCAGTGAGTAAAGGGGAGAAAGAAGGAAAGGCCCAGAACTGGCTCCTTTGATCGTTATGGCCTTTTGTTAGCAAACAGAGAACTCTTAGGGTCAAAAAAGTTTACTGACACATAAGATTTTGCAAGCAATAAATATTGTCATAACTTATATACTCTACAATTTAAAGACTGACAGTATTTTTTCCAGTATTTTTTCACACAGGGATCTAATATTTGTAGCAAATATTTGGTTAAACATTCAGCAAAGATCTCCTTCCGCTGAAAAATAAGTGCTCGTATGAGGAACTGGGATACCCTAGTGGCAACAGTCGGTTTTGTTCAGTAGTGTATTTTATCCGTGCTTCAGCACTGTGAGTACCTGAGCCACAGGAAACGAGCAGTTGGAGTTAGGGCAGCTCTTAGGACTGCTTCACCTCCCCGTTGTCCAGAGATATACAAAATTTTTCCAACTATATACAAAATTTTCATTGCACTCTTTCTCCAGTTGGTCAAGTATCCGAATACAACTGGGCTTTGCAGGATTGGTTGATATATGTCAGCTGTTACTTTTGAGTAACAGCTCAAGTAAAGAGATTCTCCTATTTGCATTTATCCGTAGAGGAATCTAGATGTTTGAATTCCTAAAACTGAAAGGATTTTTGCAGCAGTTTTGAAGGAGGTTGAATGCTGTTGCCTGCCCCAGGAGTCTGTTCCCCATTGCTGTCACTGTGGGTTTTTTGTTTGTTTGTTTGTTTGGAGGGGTGGGATGAGAAATGCCATCTTCGCTGGAGGACGATGGTTTCTGTCAGGGTCCTGGGGTTCTTGCTCCTTCCTCAGCAGTCCCGACGGTCACCTGCAGCGTCAGCCCTGGCTCCCCAAGCAGGTGTGAGCAGAGGGGATTGTAAAGGGGGGGAAATTTTCCCCTCTGTATGCAGAGGGGAAGATAAAAGAGCAGTTCTGAGTCTCCATTTTTACCCTTTCTGGTTCCTTTCTGCATGAGAGGCTCTTTACTCTTACTCATAGATGGCAGCAGAACTAACAGTTACAGAGGGCCAATTAAAACACTAAAACACTACTTATGTCTACTCTTTTAATCCAAATTGCTCAGTAGCAGCTGCACCTTTCGCCGTGATGTTACTAGAGCTTTAGAAATCCCTGCTTTTGTTAACCAAGTGTAAGTATGAACTTTAAAAGAATCTTTTAAAACTTTTTAGCTTAGTTGGGCTCGGGAGGACTTTTCTAGTGGTATTTTAAAGATTGTGACTTTGTCGATTAGCCTGAGCTTTTCCTCGCTCCATTTGTGACCATTTTCACTGATGTGTTTCCTTCTCCCCACAGTTTCCTGGTTAGTTTTATGGTGGATGCACGTGGGGGCTCGATGAGGGGGAGTCGCCACCACGGCATGAGAATCATCATCCCGCCGCGCAAGTGCACGGCGCCCACCCGCATCACGTGCCGCTTGGTCAAGAGGCACAAGCTGGCCAGCCCCCCGCCTATGGTCGAAGGAGAAGGCCTGGCGAGCAGACTCGTGGAGATGGGCCCGGCAGGGGCACAGTTTTTGGGGTGAGTTGTCTATGAATTTCCCTGCTGGCGCTCATACTCCATCTTTTATTTCCTTTATCCTGCGGATCTGAGGAGTTAAGCATTCAGTTTACCTCATCTGAGCATGTAAGATAAGCTACGAATCTTGAACTACTAAAAAATGCCAACCTGCCATTCCTTCCTTGAAAGTACCCTGCTCTGTTAAGGGGAGCTTTGCCTTTTGATGGCTGCAGGGTGGAGGAGCCAAAAGTGAGGAAAGCCGTGCGGAAGCCGGGCCTGCCCCCGGCCGCTCACGCCACTCTCTGTGGCAGAAGGGGCTTCGGCCCCATGGCCGCGTGAGGCCTGGAGCAGCCCAGGGCGCTTTTTTTTTCTCCCACCTCCCTTCCCTAATCATAAATTTTGTTCGTTAGCGCGAGTGGCGCCCTGGTGTGAACCGCCGGTCCTGTCGGGAGTGACAGCTTGTTCCTAATTTCCCCTTCTCGTTTCTCTTCCTGCTGCATGGATGTTATTCAGTAAACTGCATCTTCCTAAAAGTCCTCCCCCTCTAAATGAGGGTGAGAGCATGGTTAGCCGAATCCTGCAGCTTGGTCCACAAGGAACAAAATTTATTGGGTAGGATATGTACAGAAAAGATACAGAATGTCTACAGTTTTCTTTTGGTTTCGGTTTTTTGTTATTCCCATTTTTTTTCGGTTTTCTGAAGCTTTCAGTTGATTTATGTCACTGAAAGAAAATCATAGTGGCTTGATTTAATATAGCTCTGCTACGACCTTGTGCTTATAGGCATGTAAAGTTCACTGCCAGCATTCTGCTCTCATAACTTCTGTGCTTTTGTAATTTTTTAAATTTGAAGTGTTTCAACTGCATCAAATACATTTTAATACACAGTGACAGTCCTTTAAGTTCAGCCTTGTGGTAGAGAAGGTATTTACAGGCCTTGAAGTGAGGCTGTGGTGGGAAAAGCATTGTAAAATTAATTATGGAAGATCATTTAGAAAAATGTCATTGAGTAAATGACTTCATTTAACAATGTTGGAGAAATACGAATCTTCTCAAACTGCAGGAGGCATCTTATTAAATTAAATTAAAAAACCCCAAGTATGCTATGGAGAGGAACTGCAATGTGTATGCTAAAAATGTAAGAATGTTTCTGTATATTTTTGACTGTTTTTTTCAAACCATATCATGAAATTTTAGTGTGTTAGGTTTTCAAAATATTGGTGAGTGTTTGGTGTTCGATACCTGTTTAATACCTTCTCGCTGAGTATTCTTGTTAATCTTCATGCACAGAATTGTGTGGTTTCTAAATATTTACAGAGACAGTATCTGACATATTAGCCTGCAAAGATTGTATTACAACGTTTTTCATTTGCATTCCTTTCTGACTAGAGGGTAAATACCTTAAGAAACCATATATTTGAATTTTGGGTGTCTGCTTGCTGCGCACAATGAGAGACAGCAGCTACATTGCTTGTTAAAGGCCTCGAGATCAGAGGAACAGCCTGAGTGTTTCTAAAAGCATCGGAAATATGCATTCATTAAACTGCCTTTTACTCTTTTTGTGGGGGGAAAAAAATCTACCTGTTCTTCTGGGCTTCCAAGTATTTTTGCTCCTAAAGGCTGCCTTGATTTCCTCAGTCAGGTAACTGACTGGGTAAGGGGCAGCCCAGCACCTTGCTGGGGTACAGTGCCACACAGTACCAGCTCCATACTGTCCCCATGTGCAATGTGTGCTTTAACTGAGTTATGACAGAGAGGTGAAATCCTTTACAACCTCTGTAGGAAAATAGTGATACTGTCTATTTAAATGTCTTAAAGCTGCATAATCCATAATTGTTCACTTATTGTGTGATTTCAGTCAGTTTGTCTTAGCGTATTTTAATCTGCATATCCTGCCTGTGAAGCGTTTGGCAAAAGTGTCTGTTTTGTTGAGGAATGGCACATGAAGTGAATGGTGGTTTCTGTTGATCGTTCACAATAACTGTTTAATACTGCACTTGAAGTCCTCTGTGTAAGGTACATTGTCTGGTGACGTAGGTGTATTATCTAACCACCTTCCCGTTCCCCTTCCTTTCCCCCGAAATGTTTGACAGTTACTAATATCAGTGTGGTCGTGCTGTTGCTTAACGCAGAGAAATCCATTCTGAAAGGAGCTAAGCTTTGCCCAGTGACGCTTCCCGTACGGATGCTGCAGCTGGGACTTTGCCCATGAGAAGCAGAAGGAGAAAGAGATGAAGCGGCCTGTCTGGTTGCGCAGAAGCTGCACGAACGCAGAGCCAGAGGGAGCTTTTAGAAGGCCAGGATTTAGCCTGAAGTCTAAACGCACACACAGTCCCTGTTGCAGTCAGTAGCTGTTGCATGCGTTGGGATAGCCGGACTGTTTCTGAACTATCTTTCCCCCTTTAAATCCCTTGAGACAGATCCTGTTTTTGATTTTGCTAATGGCAATTAAAAGTCAGCAGTGCTGTGTGTGCTGGAGGCAGGTTGGATCACCTACATCCCAGGATAAATGAGCAGGGAAAACTCTTATTACCAAAAATTTGTAGCCATTTTTCATGTACACTGCTGTTTCAAAAAGCTTATGCTAAAAATGAGCTGTATTTGAAGATTTTTATGCTACATAAGCCTTATAGTTTAAATGATAAAGGATTGTGCAGCTTTGGCAATTTTAAATTCATTTTTACCATAACAGTGCTTATTATTTAAAGTGACTGTAGTTGTCTTAAGAATTGAATGCCCATAGGAAAGCTAAGGGCAGTGAGGAGCTATATGATTAAAAATAATATGGTTCTTTTTTGTCTAGCCCCGTCATAGTGGAAATCCCACATTTTGGATCAATGCGAGGAAAGGAAAGAGAATTAATCGTACTTCGAAGTGAAAATGGTGAAACGTGGAAGGAACATCAGTATGACAGCAAACACGAAGACTTAACCGAAATACTCAATGGCATGGATGAAGGTAAACGTTTCATCAAAGCTCCCGCGAGCCTTGCCCTCGTGCGGGCCTGCCGGCGCGTGCGGGCTGAGGCAGCCTGCGGGGACGCAGTGCTGGGGATGTGTGGCTTGGGGAACACGCTGCATTGCGTGTCCAGCGAAGGGGAACGCGAGGAGAAACGCTACAGCAGTCGCCCGAAAACGCCCTGACCTGAGCGGTGAGTTTGGGCTGGAAGCCGTGCCAGCTCGAGCAGAGGGGTTGGGGACGGCATCGCAGCTGGCGGTCTGGGCGTCTCTGCTGCCGTGGCAGGGCCACATTTGGGTCACTCCACACCAAAGCTAAGCTGTAAACAGCAGCCGGCAGAGGCTTGCCCACGCGCGGACCTCTGCTGTGGCCCACGGACTGCTCTGGCCTCCTACTGCTCAAGGTCGCTGCCCAGGAGTGCTCAACCTCCCTCCTGGGGTCACTCTGCCCCTCTTGGAGGTCTGCCCCTGGCTGTGCTTAGACATTACTGTTTTCATGAGAGTCCCTTAAGAGGAGAGGACTCAGCTGTGTGTAATTCATCAGAAGACGCTGTGACAGATGGTCCCTGCTGACACGGCCCGGGCACAGCCCAGCCGGAGTTTCAGCATGGCCTTTGGCGCCGCGCCATCCTTTCCCCGCGAGCACTGTTCAGTACTGCTGCTCATACACACCGTGGCTCTCGCACTTCACTTCTGAGCGCGCGAGAAATAGCGGGTGCTTTGCTTTTGCTCAGGGTAACAGCTTAGAGGAAGTCACAGCCTGTTGGCTATGAGCTGGATTGAAGTCCCTCGCTATAAGCAAAAGCCACTCAAAGCAAACAATTAAGGTGCAAAGGCAGCTCCAAGAGGGGTCTGTGAACAGCCCCGGCCTTGAGTCTTGGCCCTTGCTTGGGGAGGGCAACCTTGGTGAAAAGGCAAGTTTTGAGAGTATGGAAGGAGCAGTGATTTGTATTCACTGCTGGTGCTTTCCAAACTGAGCTTAGGTCGATTGTAGGAACATTTTGGGCTCAAAATACTGTTCCAAAGCCCTCCAGCTTGGGTCACCAAAGGTGCAGCATGGATGGATCTGCACATTGCAAAGTGGAGACCTCCACTTTGTCGGCTCTCCTGGGGAGGTGCCGAGAGCTGCCTGCCCAGCCTGGCTAAATTTATTTAAATTAACTAAAATATCCTTTCCAGAGGAAGAGTCTCTGCCTTGTCCTTGGTACATGATACATGTTCATCTGGGCTTCTTTCAGGTACAGTTTGCCCTTGTGCTATGTTCCTGCAGCCTCTACAGGTGTCTTTCTGTAGCCGTAGACGAGCTGTGGTCACGAATGCACATGCTGGGGTAGCAAGTCTGCGGAAAGACATGTGCAAAGCAGCGAGTGAGCCAAGAAACGCTAATACTTGTGGCTACAATATGCTTGCAGCTGCACAGTGTGGTTTTAGATGGGAAGCAGGAGTTTTTGCATAACTTGTTCTTTAAGTCTGCAGATCAAACCAGAGTGTGGCCTGGTTTGTGCTTGCCAGTTAAAGTACCCCCATAAATCACCCTGCGGTGATTTTGCCACGTTTGTAAGAAAGGAAAGAGACTATGCAAAAATTTGTAGAAGATGTAAAGGATGTTGTGTCACTTGAGGATGCTCCTTGCTGTACATGGATTGTGAGCACTAGTTATAGATGAGAGGCACGGGAGCAGGCAGGATGCTTTAGATGCTTGCAGTTTTTAAAGCCACCCTCACTGCCTGCGATTTCTGCTTGCCTCCCACTGCTCTCTCTCTTCCTCCTACCGTTTGCTGTGTCAGCACCGTCTCCTGCGTGTCCCACCTTCCCTGCTCATAATTAGTCAATGAGGCTGGTCCCTGCAGTGGGGACGCTGGTGTCCCGACTTGTCCCACCGCCGAGTCCCCAGGGTGAGGTGCTGCAAACCCAAGAGAATCCATCTCATTGGCATCACCTCCTCACTGACATCCTCCTCACTGCATGTGGATTTGCTTTTCCAGCACTAGCAAAATGCTGTTTGAGGCTCCGGAAAAGGAGATGAGAGCACAAATCTAGGAGACAGTGGCACCTGGAGTCTCTTCTCAGTTCTGCTGCTAACTTTCCTGCCTAGCCTCTCTCTGCTTTTTGCTCTCCATCTTTAAGATGAGGCCCTATTTCTCTGTGGTTTAAAAAAACAAACAAAACCCTTGAGGTTTTAAATTGAAATGCATTACATAGGCATGAAGTGTCGGCAATGAGGAAAGCAGTGATGATGATCACTCCTGATAGAAACTACATGTTGTGCATTCAGGGAACGTGACGTCTCCCAAGACAAGTTTTCCCTGTTTCACCAAATCTCTCATGCTAATGCGGCATTTCTTACAGCAGCCAGAGAGGTGGTTTAGGGTTGCTTACCTTCCCTGGTTCTCGTCTGAGGGGAGCTTGCTGGGGAAGCCTACACATGTGTCATCCAAGTGTAATCTCCTTAAATATAGAGTCCAAGTCCTCTCCATGCTTGGCTGTTACTCTGCTGCTCTAAACTTCTTCTCATTCCTCCAAAAAAGAGTTCCTGTTTCAAAAAGTCTCAAAAGATTTTAGAAATCTTCTCACATAAAACAGTAATTTTCTGCTTCAGAAGAACTTCATTATCCATCATCTCTGTGAGTATTTTAAAGTAGGTTTAGTGTCTAGCAGCAAACAAGGGAACTCATAGGATTTGTCAGTCAAGCTCATACCTGCCTGGGAATTTAGGAATCCATTTAGTCTCCTGCACAGGCCGTTGCTTCCAGAGGCCGCAGGCAGGATGCCTAATTCATTAGAGGGCTTCAGATAGTGTCTCTGAGTCAAAGCTAAGGGAAGCTGACGTTACGGTAAGAAAATTTCCCCTTCTGTAGCTTCCTATGCTCCACAGCAACACTGTGCAATTAATCTAAATTACCTGCTGAATGGTTTAAATGGAAAACTGACATTTTTACCAAATTTATATTCTAATCTTTTTGAGCTTTAGTTGCTACTTATGTATTCAGAGGAAGAAAGTGCACCAGCCAAGGAAAGTAAAAAATATCTACAAGTGTCTGTTGTCTCGATACTGTTTCTGGTCATCCCGCTTTGTCCTGCTGCAGCTGGTGGAAATGTCGTGTTTCAAGGAGCAAACTTTCCTTAGGAATGTGCTGTTCTTTTTAAAGGACAAAATGAGAGGGGCAGCTTGCGGGGTGCTGGAACGAAGCCCAGCGTCAGTAGCTGGAAAGGCAGAGTACAAGAAAATTGCATGAGAATTACATGGCAGTCCTGTAATTGCCTTCATTTGTGAACAGTGCTTGTGTCACGAGGATTTCATTAGTATGTGCACCCAGTGGCATAGTTAGTTATACGTGTGATTTGTCGCGGAGATTTCCTCAGCGCGTACGTCTGAGGTCGTTGCTGCGATGCGGGTAGACACTCGGCCGCGTTGCCGCGGCGGGGTCCGGCCGTGGTTCCGCTGGCGGTGCCGGCAGGCAGCGCCGCCCCAGCGCAGCCCCGCTCAGCGTCGCCCGGCTCGCCGGGGAGGGAGGTGCAGCCTCCTGGCTGCTGCCAGCCCTGACCGAGCTCCCTCTCACACGCTTGGCCCAGAGGTGGACGGCCCGTGAGCTGCCGGGGATGTACTGAGCTTTCCTGCAAGGCAGAGCTGCCTGAGCAAAGCGCCTGCAAATAAATGTCTCTTGAAGGTGCGCTTGGAAAGATCAGGGTGCTCATGTGTGCCCATGTATAGAGGAGAATGTGAAGGAAGTTCGATCATCCCTTGATTTCGGGCAGCTCCCGTGCTGCATCCTGAGCCCGTGTCCTGCACCCTCTTGATGCGGGTGAAGAGACTGGCACGTGCCAGAGGGTCGGGGCTTGGACCCGTGCGGCCAGGGCTGTTGTCTCTCGCTGTCAAACAGATGCAGGAGACGACAACAGCAGTTAATTTTAAAATCCTCTTGAGCAGTTCAAGATGTATTAAAATCCTTGCGCCGATTGCCAGGAGTGTCGGGTATGGCCAGGCAATACCTCCATGTTTGCCTTGTGTCTCTCCCTCAGAGCTGGACAGTGTGGAGGAACTAGAGAAGAAGCGCATCTGCAGGATTGTCACCAAGGATTTCCCCCAGTACTTCGCAGTGGTTTCACGGATCAAACAGGAGAGTAACCAGATTGGCCCCGAAGGAGGGGTGCTGAGCAGCACGACGGTGCCCCGCGTCCAGGCGTCCTTCCCGGAGGGCGCGCTCACCAAGAGAATCCGCGTGGGCCTCCAGGTAAGGCCATCGGCACCGGCCTCGCGTGAACCCTGGCTCCCGGGCCAAGGAGCAGCTGGTGCCTGGACAGCCCTGGCCATGGGGCCGTGTGTGGGGACAGAGCGTGTCCAGCTGCCTGCTGGCTGTTCTGCAGCCAAGAACAGACCAATATCCATCTGTTGTTACGTAGGGCGTTCACTGCTAGCGTGTCTAGCTCTAGGTAGAATCTGGGAAGAGCAAATAGCTTAAACTCACCTCAGACAAACTGCATAGAAAGCGGAGAAATATTTCATAGGAGAGACCTTTTTCACTGAGGTTTTCTAGTTGTCACTTAAAATTACTTAACCTGACAAGTCTGATGCATTCGTGAAACAGGGATGCTAGTTCAGATTCCATTGCTTGGAATTTGCACCAAACCTTTTCTTGTCTGTTAACAGTATTCATATAAAGACTGTTAATCTTGAGAAACTGGAAACTCTGCTATCGTTGTTACGCAGCTGCCTCTACCAGAGTTATTTAGTGTGAAAGAAACACATCTGTGTAGCACTGTTGTTGCTGCTGAGACCACAATGTAGCTACATACTCTGTTAGGAAATCCCAAGTGAGTTGGGGAAAAGTACGAAGGCAGGAATTGTGCTGCTAATCACCCTGGAGAACTACAGGGGGAGACGTACTAGGAAAAAAAAATCTGGAAAAAAAAAATGAAAATGGAATTGTTTTTTGGAAAGAAAATCCTGCAAGTCTAAAACCAATTTGAAGCTGTAATTTGAAATGTTTTCCTTGTGTTGTCAGGCTCAACCAGTTCCTGAGGAGATTGTCAAAAAAATCCTTGGAAACAAAGCAACTTTCAGTCCCATCGTCACTGTGGAGCCAAGAAGGAGGAAATTCCATAAGCCGATAACCATGACAATTCCCGTGCCGCCTCCGTCAGGAGAAGGTGTAACCAATGGCTACAAAGGAGACACGACACCCAGCCTGCGGCTTCTATGTAGCATTACAGGTTAGGCAGAATGATGCTCTTTGCAAAGGTCTCTGCACTCACTCGCGTAGCTGTTCAACCTTTGCTTTCCAGTGAGGGAACATTGATTTGCTAGATCCAATAGAGTTCAATTCTCTTGAGCAAAGCCAGCTGAGGTCATTCAAATGGCTTATGCCACTTCCCTGGGCTTTGAATCTGGTCTCACGCCATTATAAAGGAATTCCTGCCAGCAAATACTGAATGCTGCTTTATATGTAGCCAGTGTGAAGAATTTCAACCTTGGCTGTCACACCCTATTGTCAATAAAAGTAGTTTACAGAAGTAATTCTGGCCTAGTTGGTATCAAGAGAGGTTTTGCTGTTGACTGTAGATAAGCCCCTGCTTACATGGACACCGTTTTCTGGTGTGTAACACATGACAATATTTAGCATGTAATTCAGGTGTTTGCAGACATTATCATCTAGGTTCTTGGCTTACTTGTGAAGCAAACCGAGTTCCAGTGGAAATGTGCTTATGTGGGGTGTTTGCTGGGCATCTGAGGGGAAACATGTGCTTTGTGTCTCCGCAGGAGGCACTTCACCTGCGCAGTGGGAGGACATCACGGGCACCACTCCGCTGACGTTCACCAACGACTGCGTCTCATTCACAACCAATGTTTCAGCCAGGTATGGTAACAGAGGTTGCCAAATACACCCAGTGAGTAGTTTCCTTGGGCTAAAATGGGGTTGTCGTGGGTTTTATTCAGCTTTCTGTAGTTCTTTCGCAAGGCTGATATGAAGGAGTAGTGGACCAGATGCTTTTTGTCACTCTCTATAAGCATCTGACACTTCCAGGCTTGCAGATGAAGCTTTGTGCTGGCCTTTGCTGCCCGGGTCATGGCTCCCAGCAGTCTTAAGTGCTGTTTCTCTGAAGGCTGCAGTAACTCGCAGGGTTTGTCTGCAGACCTGTCAAACTGTGGATGCTCTTCATAGTGTCCTCTGTGATGGACTTGATGGTCTTACTGATTGAAGACTTTCAGCAGTTTTTTTTTCCATCCTGGCAGAGAAAATTTATAGTTTCTTATGTGCCTAGTGTTTGCATCTATAACAAGCTTTGTACTTAGAATCACTGAAAGAATAGAGCAGGGTGGAAATATTGTGGCAAAGATAAAAATGGAAATACTTTTAAATTATATCAGACTTGTCATCAAGCTTGTCTTGGGAGGAGAATATAACAGTATAGCATTCATTCCTTAGAAAAACCTCACTGTGGGCATACCCACTTTCAAACTACATGGGAGATGTGATATGTATGTGTATATATGTGCCATCAAGAAGATTGTTTTAAATTTCCTGTAAATTCAATGTACAGCGAGCCATCATGCCACGTGGCATGTGGTCACAACGAATACACCTTTTCCCAGGTTTAGTGTCAAGCTCACTTTAAAATAAACAGTTTTAGGATATGCCAGTGTGAAAAGGATCAAATAAAGATATCAATGTCTCAGTGCTGGATAGTGTCATTTTTGGAAGCTTGAGGCTCCATTGGCAGTGCAAGGAAACAACAGCTCTGACACTGGGAGGTCTGCAGAAGCAGTGTGAATCCAAAATGGCCAAGGATCACAGGATATGGAATTGAAGGTCTGAGAAATGTTCGAGCTTAATGAAAAGTTTATTTAATGGTTTACTTTCTCCTGTTCAGGTTTTGGCTTGCAGACTGCCATCAGGTACTAGAAACTGTTGGGCTGGCCACACAGCTTTACAGAGAATTAATATGTGTTCCCTATATGGCAAAGTTTGTGATATTTGCCAAGATGAATGACCCTGTGGAATCCAATCTGCGTTGCTTCTGCATGACTGACGACAAAGTGGACAAAACTTTGGAGCAACAAGAGAACTTTGAAGAAGTTGCAAGAAGCAAAGACATTGAGGTACGTCTCTTTCTTACAGTCTATCTTCCTCCATGCACATGGGCTGTCTGTTTTCAAAATGTAGAGGGGTCCTGCAAAAGGATTTCACAGTTAAGCAAAGTCTCATGGTCAGGCTGTGGCAGGAAAGGACAAGGTGAGGGAAGTGAGAGGACGTGTGTGGCAGTGGGTGACCCTGGCCAGCCTGGGGCAGGTTTTGGGCCTGCTGCTGTAGAGTGGCCCTGCTCGTGCTGCGGGCACTGCTGACCTGGGATTCGCTCTCACCTGAGGCTGCTGCAGTGCAAATAGGTAGGCTGGGACATTGTGTCTTGGGGGGAATCTACATGTTCTTTCTCCTTCAGTGAAGTCACTCAAGGCTTTCCAAAGTGCCCACACTTACAGCTGTCTTTCTGGAATGCACTTTTATTTTCAGATTTGTCACCAAAATTTAATTTCACCCATGCTAAACTGAAGGAAGAACTAGGTTGGGGGAAATTGTGCTATACTTACGTGTCTCAATCTACTATGAAAAGCAGTCTTGCTCATTTTTGTTTCATTGTTTTGATAGGTTCTGGAAGGAAAACCTATTTATGTTGATTGCTATGGAAATCTGGCTCCTTTGACTAAAGGAGGACAGCAGCTTGTTTTTAATTTTTATGCTTTCAAAGAAAATAGACTGCCATTCTCTATCAAGGTAAAATCTGCTAACCTTTTTTCATCCCACTATAACTAACCTGATGTAAGTGTCACTGCTTAACAGGTGAATAACATGGACAGGGTGCTTTGCATGAACCCACAAAAAAAAGTTGCTAGCAGAGTTGGGTCCGGAATACCTATAATATTGATTCACAGCCTTTTATCAAAACTGCAGTCTGTCCTCTCAATGGTAGCAGTAGATCACTGCTTCCCAGGGACTACTAAAAAGAGATGAAACGTCTGAACAGACAGAACATCTTACAGAAAAGTGTGTTCAGATGCCCATCTCTGAATGTCCATGAATAGGCACTCACTGTCCTTTGCCTTTTCACAGCTTGAGGCCAAAGAGGCTTGGGCAGTAAGCATTTTGGTGAGTCCAAGTGCAGAACTTGGCAGGGAGAGATGAGGGTGAGCGTGGAACGTCACCCCCATCCACACTGGAGTGTTGCTGCCTGGCTCCCTTTGGTGGTTCATGGAGTTGGGGGATATGAGAACATGGGGCTGATCCAGCTCTATTACAAGAGCTCCCTTTTCCTGGGTCCCAGCTCTGGGTCTTGCTCTGAAAGCCACTTTTGGATGGGAACTCCTAGAAACTCTCCAGAAACCACCCCATGTTTTCTGAGGGAGAGTGTATTGCTCCACTGTACAATAATGTCTTTTCTAGGTAAGAGACAGCAGCCAGGAACCCTGTGGTCGTTTATCATTTTTGAAAGAACCAAAGACTACAAAAGGACTGCCACAAACAGCCGTGTGCAACTTGAATATCACACTTCCAGCACACAAAAAGGTATTTGTTAGGAAACGTGAATGTCTTCCATAGGGTTGGTTTGTTTTTGTTTTCGCTCATCGAGTTTTGGGTTTTTTTTTTCCTGCTGGTGATAAAGAAATCCTGTGAGTTGCCAGTAATGAGAATGCTTTGGATTATGATTAAGGCTTTTTAAAATTGTTTTATTGGTTTCCTGTTTGTAGAACGCTTTTAAAGTCCCTCGTTACTGTGATGTCAAGTTCCTATATTTTTTCTGATTCTGTTTACAGCTCATGCTTCAGCCTGCAGCTCATAGGTTTATGCTTTCAGTAACATCATGTGTTGATTTGCATTGGATGTAAGATTTTTGTGTGTGTTTGTGTTAACATTTTGGATTTGCTTTGCTTTATAAATCAGCTTGCATTTTGTGCTCCCAACTCGGTCCTTTTCATATCCTGATATTCTTTTCCCTGCTGTCCATTATAATATTCCTTGTCTCTGCAATGCATCTTGGGACCAAAAGGAAACAGAGTCAGATCAAGATGATGAGGTAATATAAACACTGTCTTCTGTTTTTATTTCCTTCAGATTTACTGAAGAAAAGTAAATATGTTACAGAAAAAAAGATACAGTATTTAAAACTATGGCATTGAAATAGTGACTAAAGAATGACTATATCTCTGGCACCTGATATTCTCTTGCAAACAGTAGAAGTGCGCAGATGCGGAGAAACAGAATTTTATTTTACGAAATTAAACCAAGTCTTGAATAATAGTAGCCAGACTTTTAACTCTGTAACTTTTAACTGCTGTAAACACAATGTAATTATAAAATTCAGACTAAGTCTATTTCTGGCAAAATCAAGAAGGGTGTATGCAGTGTGGTTTTAACCCGTGTAAAAACATTGCCAGTGCTTTGGGAAATTGTGTTTCTGAGAGGGATTTACGGCCTGTCATGTTGTACTCCAGAAAATAAGCTGGATTCTTCTGATAAGGTGGAATAACTAACAGCAATTTCTAAATAGTGTATATAAATATATTTTTAATAAATATCAGATATTTGGAGATTAAAAATCTGCAGCTTGTTGGAAACTGGAACATTAAGTTGTCAGGAAATTGGGCGTGTTTTATTCATTAGAAGTAGTAATAACTGTGATCACCTTATAAAAGAAACCAAATAAAAGATCTATCCCATCTACCTACTAGCAGAGATTCCTTTTCTTCCTGGTGGCAGATAAATACCTGTAGCCTCCTGCTGACTAAAATAAAAGTAAAACACTCCCTACATGTTAAAAAAAGTAGTAATGGCAACCACATCACTTTGTCTCCACATGATTTGTTTCTATTGACTTATTATATAGCTATTTCAGTAGTTTTCTTTCTAAACAAACCGTATTTTAGCCACATAGCGAAGTAAGCTTTAATCTGAAGAACTTTTAATATTTAAGACATCACAGTAGCAACTGTGCTATTGGACACAGTAACTTACGATGCAATTTAGTAGTTAACTACAGTAGTCTGCTTTCTAATCTGCATCTTTGCATTTTGTGCCTATTAAAAAAATCCCTCCCATGCCTTTTTTTGTCCTTAATGTATTCACTTTAAAGCCAATGTACATTGTGGTGTATGTGCTTTTGGGACAAACTAATGTGGGGAGAAATATTTGATCTAAATTCTCCTATGAATGTTTCATGTGTTGCATCTGTAGTCTTTTGTGTGGATCTCCTGTTTCTAGCCAAAGGTGGTTTATTTTACAGAGAACAAAAAGCACTATGCCGTTTCTGGTAGTATGAAGCATTTTGCTAAGGGATTAAGGGGTGACTCGGTGGCGAGGCACCACGGGCTGCCCCTGAGCTCAGCCCGCTGTACAAGCGCGGTGCTCGCAGCAGCGCGCGCCGCGGGGAGCAGCGGGGAGCCCTGGGCCAGGCCCTGCTCCCCTCGCTCCACAAGGGCAGTAACTTGCAGCTGGTTTCTACCTCCTGCAGTGGCTTCGCCCCCTTCCCCAGCTCCTGAAATTCGCTGCCGGAGGGGCAGGAATGGAGACAGGCGCTATCCATTCCCTGGCCGCTTGCCCAGGCGGCCTCCAGAACGCCACCCTGGAGCTGAACGGAGACACGTGTTCTCCTTGTGGGGATGTGTAGTCCGTGATGCTGAGGTTTGATGGTAGTTCTGCTCGCTCTGGTGGTGGTACTAAAGGCACCAAACAGTGGTGTGTTTTGTTGCAGACGGAGAAGGCCGACCGGCGCCAGAACTTCGTCTCCCTTGCTTTACGTAAGCGCTACAGCTATCTGACTGAGCCTGGAATGAGTGAGTTGCTCTTACCCAAGTACTAAACTGTATTTATGTGATTTTTATAAGAAGAGACATTTTTTCTATAAACGTATTTTGGTGTCATTTTGGAAAAAAAATATTTAAAGCAAAACTCTTGGATGGTCTGTGAACTCCTGTGTTGTGAGAGCTTGAAAAACTCTGACTGGCAAATGCCATGTGACAATTAAGGAAAATAAAATAACTTCTAAAAGTTCCATGTAGCTCCAGGAGAGCAGAATTGCAAATTAATTTCCAAAAGAGAGACCATTCCTCTTCCCTTTGAGAGGCTGGAGGGAGCTGCTGCAGCACCATGATGCAGAGGTGAATTGCAAAAGAAGTTGAGCAAGGCTAAAGAATTCTATTCAGACAAGCACTAAAATGTTTAGATTCTTAGCCAGAAGGGACTCTCTCGTATTTCATGTCTTCCTTTTCTTTCTCCTCTCCTTCCCTTTCTCCTATGCTCCTTGCACACATGCTTTTTATTCCTTGGCACCACCCGTTTCCTTTTCTTGAACTTATGTTCCCCTTGACCAGACTCTGCTGTCCTTCCATGGAAGGAAAGCTCTGCTCTCTGTGCCTCTACTTTCCTTCCCATTAGATACAATAATGTATTTGGCTTAGTTTTTTGTCCCCCACCTGCCTGTCTGAGGTTGGCTGCTACTATTCCTAGGCTTTTTCTTGCTTCTTGATCATAACTTTGGGTCAGTTTTTCTCAGCTGCAATACGTAGCACAGAAAAGACACTTTAAACATTCTGCATCCATGATTGAACAGGAGATGGAGCAAGCTTACGAGGGACAGCAGTTGGTTTTAATGCTTTGCTAGCCAGTTGTGGCCAACTGGACCATCAGAGCACACTGGGGCCCCTGTAGAGACATTGCCAAACACAAACTGCACAACAGCTTGTTTTGATGTTAGTTCTTTTCAAAATGATTTTGGTTTTCGCTGTCAGACTTAGGACTGCATGCACTTCTGGTGAATGTTAGCAGCTGCTGCTCATTAATCTTCATAGTAAAGTCTACTTCATTTATGAAACATAGAACATAGGGAATGAAATACAGTGTCATCTTCTCTGGGAGAAGTGGTGTGTTTGTGCTTTAAAAATGAAAATGCAAACAGGATGGGAAAAAATGGGTATTTCCTGAAGCAGGCTGTGCCAGTCAGGCCTAGCATTGAAGCTCTCTGCAACCTGAATGATGTTCTGCAGTATCACCAACCATCCCCCTCACTTTCTGGGCTTTCATTGGCATTGATAGACCCAGTACATTTCTCCTTGCAGGATATGGACCTGTGGTATACCGAACATTTATTTAACTATGATTCTCTAGGAGTGTGTGTGCTTTAAGCCTTGGCAGTTTAATGCTAGTCTCACTATGCTTCTTTCACAGTGATTTACTGTCTATAAGACAAATAAAGCAGGTTTAGCAAATCATTAGCATAACTTCAGAGAAAGGTGCATTCAGCAAGTTCCTTGGGTGTTCTAGCTCCATTTCTAACTCCAAGAAAAAAAGCCCTCCAAGTTACTTTCAGTGTCAACTCTGAATGTTATTGCTCTATCAGAGGATATGTATGCTGTAATGGGATTCCCAGAAACACTGTGGCTTCTGGCACGAGTACCTCCTGTGATGCAAAATATGGTTGATGATGATTTTCCTGGAATGTCTATGAATAAGCTGAGTGTTTTAGGGGTGATAACAGTTAACAGGTTTGTTCTTGCCAGGAAATTTTGCATAATATATTGTTCTCTGACCGCTTTTCTAATGTTACCTTTTGAGAAATGCAAAGTTGAACAGGTCTTTGAGCTGATACCAGAAATCTCCTCAAAAGGTACCAAGACACTACATCTTGTAGAAAAAGTGTACTCTTCTTTTAATGGCCTCTTGTGAAATAATTTTGTAAGGTTTACATAACTTGTGCATAATACAGCATACAAAATGTATTCCTCCGTGTGCTCGTTTTGAGATGATATATTGTGCATGAATGAAACCCGATTCAGTTGCTTTGCTTGCTCACGTTTATCATAAATCATACTTTCCATTTTTCATGTATGACATATGCTTCTTAAAATCATTTCATGTAAAGTTTTACTTTAGTTTTAATTTAGTTTTACCAAACAAAAGGAGTATCGCATGAGAAACAAATGCAAAAATTCCTTTTCTTTTATTTCTTTTTATTATTTTCTAAAATACTGACTCAGAAAAGCTCTTGCTCTTATTGGCTTTGTGAGTGTGAAGCATATCCGAATTGTGCATGGGAGATACAGATTTGAATTTATACCAGTTGCTTCACAGTTTGCACATCAATTGCCTGTCACTTAAAGGGTTCTGCATGATATAACTGAGTGGTTTTAAAAAAAAGCTTTTAGCTATATAATGTCATTTTACACAAGTTTATATTTTATATAGGTACAATATCTGAATAGAACAACACAAATAGAACAACAGAAATTTTAAAAAGGATAATTCTGGTAGTTGTGCAAAGCAGACATACCTAAACAGGCAAAATAGAGCTGACACGAGTATTTCAGAACTAGCACATCAGAAAGTCAATAGGAAGTAAGAGAAGAATTTTCGTTGTGGTTTTTATTTCTACCTTATGGATTCCTCCTTTGTGTTTTCTATTTTTCATTGTTTGCAGACTTGGTTGCTATGTGCTTTCTGTCTTTCATTTCACGATGCTTTTTCTTTTGCACCAGTGATCGGTGTACGGCTCATTCCTATTCTTTTTTTTTTTCTTTTTTAACTCTTCTTTTGCCTTCTTCATCCTAACTCATGCAAACAGTTGTACTTGCTTTTTGTAATATTACAACGTTTACTGACCAATTTTCTTCTCTGGTCTCTCTGTTTTTCAATCATTTTTGTTGATTTTACGTTTGATTTTAATTTAACAATTTAAGAAACAGTTGAACGGAGTGCAGGAGCAACAAGATCCCTACCTGCTACTTACTCATACAAGCCATTCTTTTCAACACGGCCATATCAGTCATGGACAACAGCTCCAATTACAGTGCCTGGGCAAACCAAGTCAGGCTTCACTTCCTTATCAAGCTCTTCCTCTAACACTCCTACAGCTTCCCCTTTAAAATCCATATGGTCTGTTTCTTCTGCTTCTCCAATCAAATCCACATTAGGAGCTTCTACCACATCTTCAGTTAAATCTGTTAGTGATGTAGCATCTCCAATTAGATCGTTTCGGACAATCTCTTCACCAATAAAAACTGTGGTATCGCAGCCTCCATACAATATACAGGTCACGTCAGGCTCTTTGGTCAGAGCTCCCACAGTACCAGAAGCTGCTGGTCTGAAAGGGCTGGCATCCACTACCCCATTCCCCTCTCGGACATCTCCAGTGACTACAGCAGGGTCTCTCTTGGAGAGATCATCCATAACCATGACGCCTCCAGCATCCCCCAAATCCAACATTAACATGTACTCTTCGAGTTTGCCACTTAAATCGGTCATCACATCAGCATCCTCACTATTATCGTCCCCTCTAAAGTCAGTGGTGTCACCTGCTAAGACAGCAATTGATGCTGTTTCATCCTCTAAAGTCATGATGGCCTCGTCTCTCTCGTCACCAGCAAAACATGTAGCTGGGCACCCAGAGGTACCATTGCTTAATGGATCTGTGTCACCTCTGAAATACCCATCTCCTGCCAACTTAATAAATGGATCCAAAGCTGCAGCTGTTCTTCAGGAGAAAATCACTGCAGCTGCTCACACTGCAAGCTGCGCTGCTAGCGCAGTCGCTGACACAGCTGAGAGAGTGTTTTCAACCGCTTCGACGATGCCGTTCTCTCCACTCAGGTCCTTTGTGTCTACAGCACCATCAGCTTTTCAGTCAATAAGAACTCCTCCTGCAGGTGCTCTCTATACAGCCCTTGGGTCAATATCTGCAACTACCTCATCAGTAACTTCATCGACAATAACGGTGCCGGTATATTCTGTAGTCAATGTTTTGTCTGAACCAGCGTTAAAGAAGCTTCCAGAATCATCTTCGCTTACAAAATCAGCTGCTGCGCTACTGTCACCCGTTAAAACACTGACCACAGAGGCACGCACTCAGCCTCCCTTTAACCGAACTTCATCACCAATAAAATCGTCCTTGTATTTAGCACCCTCTGCTCTTAAGTTGTCCACGCCATCTTCTTTATCCTCCAGTCAGGAGATATTGAAAGATGTTGCTGAAATGAAGGAGGACCTAATAAGAATGACTGCAATATTGCAGACAGATGTTGCAGAGGAGAAACCATTCCAACCCGAGATTTCTAAAGAGGGTAGAATTGATGATGAAGAGCCCTTTAAAATTGTTGAGAAAGTAAAAGAGGACCTAGTAAAAGTTAGTGAGATACTGAAAAAAGATGTGTGTTTAGAAAGTAAAGGGTCGGCTAAAGTATCCAAAAGTGATCAAGGACACCTGTCTGAGGATGACTGGGTAGAGTTCAGTACAGAGGAGATTGATGAAGCAAGACAGCAAGCTTTGACAAGCCCTCCTATATCTGTTCCAGAGAAGGTCCAGATTAAAACTAAAACTATGTCGGAAAAGGATTATAACTTGTCAAAAGTTATTGATTACTTAGCAAATGATATTGGTAGCAGTTCGTTAACAAACATAAAGTACAAGTTTGAAGAGGGGAAAAAAGAAGGTGAAGAGAGACAAAAGCGTGTTTTAAAACCAGCTATTGCTTTGCAGGAACATAAGCTTAAAATGCCTCCAGCCTCCATGAGGCCTTCAACATCAGAAAAGGAGTTATGTAAAATTGCAGATTCCTTTTTTGGAACAGATACTATTTTGGAATCTCCAGATGACTTCTCTCAACATGATCAAGATAAAAGTCCCTTATCTGACAGTGGCTTTGAAACAAGGAGTGAAAAAACGCCCTCGGCCCCGCAAAGTGCAGAAAGCACAGGGCCCAAACCCCTTTTCCATGATGTGCCCATCCCTCCCGTTATTACAGAAACAAGAACTGAAGTAGTTCATGTTATCCGCAGCTATGAACCGTCATCAGAAGAAATTCCAGAGCAGAAAGCAGAAGAGCTCCCGGCTGTGAAAGCTGCTCCTACCTTTATGGAGCTGGAGCAAAAACCTACTGGGTCTATTAAAGAAAAGGTTAAAGCGTTTCAAATGAAAGCCAGCAGCAGTGAAGAAGATGACCACAAATGTGTCCTTAGCAAAGGTGTCCGAGTAAAAGAAGAAACTCATATCACTACAACAACCAGAACAGTGTATCATAAACCTCCGTGCACCGAAAGCACATCCGAAAGAATTGAGGAAACGATGTCTGTTCATGACATAATGAAAGCCTTTCAGTCCGGCCGGGACCCTTCCAAAGAACTGGCAGGTCTGTTTGAACATAAATCGTCAGTAACATCAGAGGTTAGCAAGTCTGCTGAAACTTCACCACAGCATGCAGAGAAGGACAGCAAAATGAAACCCAAATTGGAGCGAATAATAGAGGTCCATATTGAAAAAGGTAATCAGGCTGAACCTACTGAAGTCATTATTAGAGAAACAAAAAAGCATCCAGAAAAAGAAATGTATGTATATCAGAAAGACTTACCTCGGGGAGATATTAACTTAAAGGAGTTGGAAAAACATGATGCTTTTCCTTGTTCAGATGAACAAGGTCAGCAAGAAGAAGAAGAGCTCACAGCCGAAGAGTCACTTCCTTCTTATCTGGAGTCTTCTAGAGTTAACACTCCTGTGTCCCAGGAAGAAGACAGTCGCCCTAGTTCTGCTCAACTCATGTCTGATGACTCTTACAAAACACTGAAGCTTTTGAGTCAGCACTCAATAGAATACCATGATGATGAGTTGTCAGAACTAAGAGGGGAGTCTTACAGGTTTGCTGAGAAAATGCTTCTTTCAGAAAAGATAGATGTGTCTCATTCTGATACAGAGGAGTCAGTTACTGACCATGCTCTACCCCATAGTTCAGAGTTACAGGGGTCTGATAAACGATGCAGAGAAAAAGTAGCTACTGCCCCTAAAAAAGAGATTCTCTCCAAAATCTATAAAGATGTATCTGAAAATGGTATAGGTAAAATATCTAAAGATGATCATTATGATAAAGTGACAGTGTTACACTATGCTGGAGATGTTAGTAGTCCAAAACATGCAATGTGGATGCGCTTTACTGAGGACAGATTAGAGAGAGGTAGAGAAAAGTTGATATATGAAGACAGGGTGGACAGGACTGTTAAGGAAGCAGAAGAAAAACTCACTGAAGTATCACAGTTTTTTCGGGATAAAACAGAGAAGTTGAATGATGAGCTACAGTCGCCAGAGAAAAAGCAGCATAAAAAGAATGGCAAGGAGATGCATTCTAGCCAGAGCTCTGCCAGCAGCAGCCCCGAGAAGGTTCTGCCCTCCGAACTGCCGGCTTCCGGGGACGAGAGGAGTAAGGTGAAGCAGTACGCGGCTGACGGGAAGTGCTTTCCCAAGATAGATGAGAGAAAAGCTTCCAGCTTGCCCAGCAGTCCTGAGAAAAGGATTTTTGTGCAACAAACAGACGACTCTAAGCAAACTATGGAACACAAAGGAGGTGCTCAGCAGACTGGGGTACCTGAAGTTGCACCGGCTGGATTTCAGCTGAAGCAATCAAAGCTCAGTTCCATTAGGCTTAAATTTGAACAGAGTATAAGTCCAAGGAGTAAGGACCCAACTCAAGAAGAGAAAAAGCTGGATGGTCAATCCAAAATTCCGGTAAAGAAACTGCAAGAAAGTAAGTTACCAGTGTATCAGTTTTATTCCAGAGAGAAGCACCCAAGGCAAGTAGATCTCATTGATGGCAGCACGGCTTTACAGAAAGAGGTGAAAACACAGGAAGATTTTGCTCCTGGTAAAGGAAAAATTATGGAAGATTTTTCTGCTTTGGATACACAAAAACAAAGAACTGAAATGAGTAAAAGTGTGCCAGAGTACTTCTCAGAACAGCAGGCAATAGAGCTGGCGTATGGCTCAGATGCAGCCACAAAGGGACACTGGGACAAAAAAATCTACAGGACATGGGAAAGCCCTGGAACTTCTAATCATAAAACCCAAAAGGAGAAACTCTCGCATGTACTGGTTCCAGACACAGTAAAAGAAAACCATGTAGATCGTGCTGAAGCTAAGGCTGACAAAAAAAGTGAATTTATCACTGTGACAGAACACAAATTGGCAGCAAATGGGATTCATTCAGAAGAAGTGAAGGAACTGACTGTAAAATCTCCCTCAAAAAAGGTTTTATACAGAGAATTTGTTGTCAGGGAGGGGGAGCATAATGGCGAAGTGGCTGATAAAGCATCGAAAAGGAAAGAAGAAATCAGTGTGTCCCATATTCCAGTGAGGATTGTAGAGGAGAAGAGGACCACAATGAATGGTGTCTATGAACTTTCAGCTAAAGTATCCCAATCAGCTGTGGTTAAGGAGAAAGTTGAGAGGCAGTTTGATTATGTGGAAGATGAAAAAGGAAAGCATTCAGAAATCAGAAAAGTTACCAAGCAACAGAGCTCAATAGGGTTAAGTTCTTCTGTTGAAGAAACCGAGCTATCCCCTAGCAAATCACCAGATTCCTTAGAATTTAGTCCAGGAAAGGAATCTCCTTCAAGTGAGTTAGTTGACCCTGGTATAAGTGATTACTTGGATAAAGTTGCACCTTTAGCAAGTGCTGAGGGAGTAAAAGAAATTAAGACTTTACCTGTTTATGTCAGTTTTGTTCAAGTAGGAAAGCAATATGAGAAAGAGGTGCAACAAGGAAATATAAAAAAAATTATCAGCCAGGAGAGTAAGACAGTGCAAGAGACAAGGGGGACATTTTACACAGCTAGGCAGCAAAAGCAACCTCCTTCTCCACAAGGTAGTCCAGAAGATGACACGTTAGAGCAAGTGTCCTTTATAGATAGCTCTGGTAAAAGCCCCTTAACACCAGAAACACCGAGTTCAGAGGAAGTGAGTTACGAGTTTACATCTAAAACCCCCGACTCACTAATAGCTTATATACCAGGCAAGCCCAGTCCTATACCCGAGGTATCTGAGGAATCAGAGGAGGAAGCAGAGGCTAAGTCAACCTCTGTAAAGCAGGCAGAAGTTGAGGAACCACCACCCGACCAAGTATTACCTAATCATATAAATAAGGACTCTAACAAAAGACCAAAAGGTAACAGAGTTGCCTACATCGAATTCCCTCCTCCTCCACCACTGGATGCAGATCAGGCTGAGTCAGAAAAGAAGCCCCATTATTCCACAGAGAGCGAAATGGAGATGATAGAAGTAAACTTGCAAGATGAACATGACAAATGCCAGCTGGCTGAACCGGTCATAAGAGTACAGCCACCATCTCCTGTGCCACCAGGAGCAGACGTCAGTGACTCTAGCGATGACGAATCTCTCTATCAACCCGTCCCACTTAAAAAGTACACATTCAGACTAAAAGAACTGGAAGATGACCAGAAGGAAGCATCAAAACCTAGAGCCCCCGAAAAGATTGAGAAACAGAAAGAGTTAGGACATCCCACTTCTGGGAAACCTAATGAGTTTGACATTGGGCTTGATTCACCCCAGAATGATATAGTGCAAAATGGGAATAATGACCAGTCTGTCACAGAGTGTTCCATAGCAACCACTGCAGAATTCTCCCATGATACCGATGCGACTGAGATTGACTCTCTTGATGGTTATGATTTACAAGATGAAGATGATGGTTTAACTGAGAGTGATTCTAAACTTGCAGGTCCGGCAGTTGAGCCCAAAAAGGACGTATGGACTACAGAAGGCATTCTAAAGCAGACTGACCGCTGCTTTAGCCAGAGTAAGCTTGAAGTCATTGAGGAGGAAGGCAAGGTAGGCCCTGAAGAAGACAAGCCACCTTCGAAAGGTCCAGCTTCTGAAAAGACTGGAGATAAGAGTGAACAGAAGTCAGGGGCACAGTTTTTCACTTTGGAAGGCAGACACCCTGACAGGACTGTATTTCCCGATACATATTTCAGTTACAAAGTAGATGAAGAATTTGCAACGCCTTTTAAAACTGTGGCCACCAAGAGTCTAGACTTTGATCCCTGGTCCAATAACCGAGGTGACGATGAAGTGTTTGAGACTAAGTCAAGGGATGATGAGGCTAAACCATTTGGTCTGGCAGTGGAAGACAGATCTCAAGCGACAACACCTGATACAACTCCAGCCAGAACTCCAACAGATGAAAGTACGCCAACTAGCGAGCCCAACCCCTTCCCATTTCATGAAGGGAAGATGTTTGAGATGACTCGCAGTGGTGCAATTGACATGAGCAAGAGGGATTTTGTTGAAGAAAGACTCCAATTTTTTCAGATTGGTGAGCATACTTCTGAAGGGAAGTCAGGGGACAAGGGGGAAGGGGATAAAAGTACAGTCACTGCCATCACACAGCCGCAGGCAGGGGACAGCACTGTAGGAACAAACCTAGAGAGACCAGTAGAAACAACTGCAGTTGAACATAAGCCCATCATCCAGGCCAGTGGAGATTGCATGGAAGCAACACTTGGTAGTAACTCACTGGAGAAATCATCGTCAGCGGTAAATGCTTCTAAAGTTGACCCTAAATTGCGCACACCAATTAAAATGGGAATTTCTGCTTCCACCATGACTCTGAAGAAAGATGGCCCTGGCGAAGTGACAGATAAGATAGAAGCTGTGATGCCGAGTGATCAGGGATTAGAAAATGAAACCGCAACAGTGATTGCGAGCTCAGCTACTAGCCAGACGAGCTGTAGGCAAACAGAAAACACTGATTTTCCAAAAGATAATTTTAATAACAACAACAATTTGGATTCATCTGCTGTCCATACTGATATTATTACCTGTAATGTAGTGCTAAAAGAACATGCGGAACCCAAATGTTCCATACAGAAAGCTAGCCAAATGAAAAGCCCTGCAGGAAAAGGTACAGGGACAACTCAAGGACACAGAATAAAAGATAAGCAGAAAGTGCATGGAGACCAGCAAAAGCCAACAGAAGTGGTAGGGGCTAGAGCAAAATCAAAACTTCCTGTAAAGGCCAGCTCAGTAAAAGAAGTCTTTCCACAAAATACTCTGCAAAGCAATGCAGGGAGAAAAGCGGGACGGGCTAGTAAGCCTGAAAAAGCAAAAGAAAATAGTTCTTCTCCCTGTCTAGAAGCTAGGTCTAGGATTCCTGTAAAAAGTACACATAGGAATAACTTAGCTAGAAAAACTCCAGCCCTGCCAAAACAAGAGCAGGTAGAGAAAGGAAAAGCAAAACAGCTTCCTTCTAAATTACCAGTAAAGGTAAGATCTACCTCCGTCACAGTGACAACAGTTAAAGTAAAGAAAAATCAGCTTAGGGAGGTATGTAAACATTCTATTGAATATTTTAAGGGAATTAGTGGTGAGACATTAAAGCTTGTGGATCGTCTGTCTGATGAAGAGAAAAAGATGCAGTCAGAGGTCTCTGATGATGAAGAAGACAGTACATCGAGAAACACATCATTGTCAGAAGCTACTCAAGTTTACCAGCCTTCCATTACATCGAAGTCCGCTAGAGATATGAGAACAGAGGCAGCATCTTTAAAATCAAAGATTGAAAAGGCCGACAGTGAGAGGAGGAGGAGTAAGAGGACTGGTGAGAATGAAGGCAGTCAGGTTTCTGGAGCTCTCTTGGCTCACCTCGTGGAGATCAAGCCTAGTTTGTAAAACTTTCAACTTGTTGATCCTAGTGCATGAACTGTTGTGATTGCCTGTGGAGTGACTTGACTGTAGTTCTCATTCTGTCATTGTCATCTGTGTGTGCTGTCTTTTACTCTTCTTTCTTCCTTTAAACCAATCCTGTTCTGTAGAAAGCTAGTGAAGCATGCCGAAGACGTTGTTGTAACTCAGACATTGAAAGATTTCTTTTGTGACAGCAAATTCATTCTGTCAAAGTAGAGAAAATAGATGTTAATTTGGTCTTGGTGGTTTCCACCGGTAATTGAACAACTTGTGTACAGTCTAACAGCTAGATTGTCCGCATGTTTGGTTTCATTACACGACATCATGTAGTTTGACATCTGGCTTTACACAGGTGAAAATATAAAAGCTGTAAAAAAGAAATTTGTTTTGTAGGCTCTTAGGACACACAGCCATTCTAGTAAACAATACGAGCACCGTCTACTTAGCTGAATTAAAGCTATTGCGATAAACTATTGTCCGGTATTATGGATTTCTTTGCAAAACCTTTTTAATCGAGAAATTGTAAATCACAGGTCCCCAGAGTCCATGTGAACGGACCGATATAAGGATGGCCATTGTAGCTGACCACCTAGGACTTAGCTGGACAGGTAAGATTTTGTGCTTTCATATCAGAATCGGTCTGAACTGTTAGGTTTTCAGGTTGTGTTTTACCCAAAGGTGCAGCTGGACCTGATGCGCCCAGCCAACATCCAGCATATCCCAAAACACCCACCACATTGCCTGGCCAGAGAAGCGTAACCAAAAGCAGCTGCAGAGAGTCGTCCTGCTGTGTGGCAGGAAATTAAACAGACTCGCAGTGGGAATAGCTGTGAATAGTTCTGCTCTCCAGAGGGCCACGTGCTCACGGAGCTGAGAGGGTCTGAGCTGCAGCTCTGCAGCCGTCTGGCTCGGTGTCGATGCTGCTGCTTTCCCCGGAGGTCGTGGTGGCCTCGGCGATGGCTGCAGCAGCCCGGGCCCGTGGGAGGGGGCCCGGCCTTGCCCGGGCACGGGCACCGGGGGCTGCGGCGCCGTGGGCACCCGTGGGGCCTGCGGAGGGGTAGGAGGCGTGCGGGGAGCTACCGCGTGAGGAGCAGCGCCCAGAACAGACAGCCCTTACAAACCAGCGGTGCTGCCTTCGTCTCCGTGGAGCGTGGAGCTCCTCTTCACAATGCTCAAGAGGCTTTCTGGGTATGGAGGTGGTAACAGCCAGCAGAGATAGGACTGAGAGTTCACAATGATGCCTGCCGCAGGAAATTAAAATACGAGCTTATTATGTCGTGTTCATCATTATCTCTTAAGATGACCATTTGTATCATGTTACTTTGCTGACGTCTGTGAGATCTAATAAAACTGGTATTTTTAACTCTCACATGATGATTGAGATATTTGTGCTTTGCTCTGTATTGTTTGTTGTTGTTTTTTCTTTTTTGCTTTATAGAACTGGCAAGAGAACTGAATTTTTCTGTGGATGAAATAAATCAAATCCGAGTAGAAAATCCAAATTCTCTTATTGCTCAGAGCTTCATGTTATTAAAAAAATGGGTTACCAGAGATGGGAAAAATGCTACAAGTAAGTTCAAGTGGTTATTTCTGTTGTGCATAAGTTGCAGACTGTCCCACCCGCTGCCTGTCCTAAATATGTTAAACTGAAGAGAAAAAAAAAAAAAAAAAAAAGAACTTCCATGACTGCTGATGAAAATGAAAAAACCTTAGAGTTCCAGGTACATTTTTACCAGAAGTCAGGAAAGTGTATTTAATCAGTATACATGCAGAAGGAAATAATTTGTTCTCCATTTTTATAGTTGATGAGACAAGTAATGGGTTTAAATTTTAGTGCAGGACGTACTTGGGAAAACTTTCCAATTCCTATCATAAAAAGAAAGTGACAAATGGAAATAGAGTCTCTGGAAAAGGTGGATAGTCTCCAAGTACAGGAGGTCTTTAAGAAGAGCCTAAAGACTCTGAGGAGTGACGTGTGTGAGGGGGACAACAGTCCTCGTCAAGGCCTTCACTCTGCATTAGGATTCTTTTGCTTCTGTCTGTGCATTTAACTTGAATTGCTCAAATGGGAGTAGATGTGAGATTGATTTTTGTATTAGGTCAGTGGTGTTCATTACTGTTCTCGAGCCCACACACTCCTATAAAATGTCTGAAGCCACTTTGATCCCTTTCACTGTAAAAGTCATTCCCAGGAGTACTGTGTTCTCACAAGAAGATTGTCGTAAATGAGATTTCACGATGTGCTGCACAAAGAGAGGCGCCCGGGCTGATCGCTGCCTGCATCGCTGGTCATTCTACTGCTCCTCAAAACAGGCTGCTAAAAGCAGAATCCTTTCCCAGTCCAGCAGAAGGGAATTTTGTTTCAGTAGTAGGTAGAGACACTCTTTAAGAACCCTCTGTCCTTTTTCTTTGTGCTGCTTGTGGTGTAATATGATTATCCTCATGGGGGGAAGAGAAAAAAAAGAAAGAAAAGAATCTTAATGGCTGTATATCTTGAATAAGTAGGCAGCAGAATGGTTGCTGAGACAAATGGGTTTGCTAGAACCAAAGGCACTGAGGCAGACACGTTCCAGCAACTTTTAATTAATGCAATGTGAACGTAACCGAGAAAAAGAGATTACACAGTTCTGCAATATTGAGCTTTTTTTCCTGACATGTAGTTTTTGTTTTTCAGCTGATGCCTTAACCTCAGTATTGACAAAGATTAATCGAATAGATATTGTGACCCTGTTGGAAGGACCAATATTTGATTATGGAAACATTTCGGGCACCAGAAGCTTTGCAGATGAAAATAACGTTTTTCATGATCCCGTTGATGGTAATTGAATTCCCTCGTCATGTTTATTTCAGTGACGTGTCCAATATGACAATAATGTTGTATAAAGCAGATAAAGCTATGACAATAATGTTGTATAAAGCAGATTTTTTTGAGAGATAGTAAGTTCTAAAGGGTTAATTATTTTCATTCTAAGCCTTTTCTCTTCTAAAGCGCATCCATGCTATTTAGCTTGCACGTTAATGTCTCCAAGTTCATGATCCCAGAAACGCATGCCAAAATGTTCTTATTAACACCTGTCCACTGTCAGGTGACAAGGCCTGAATGTTTTTCCTCTGCAATAGTTGTGCTTTGTGTACTTACCCCTTTGTACTTTCCAAGTAGCTGATAGAACTTGGGTGCATGCTTCCCAGACTACCTAGAATTACATGGATTGTTTGGCTCTAGAAATAAGTAACACTAAGAATTTTCTTTAAATACAAGAAAGCAGTAGCATAGAATAAATTAATTTTCAAATTATTACTGAACCTCTTTGAGACAAGCAAATATCAATTATTTCATGGATTTTGCTTGAGCTATTATTGTCCTAATGTACAGTGGCAGTAGAAAAGGAAGACAATGTTTAATTATTGCATGGGATAGTATCTCTGTCAGTCCACTAATGGGTGAAAAGGTGTAACAGTTTTCTCCCTAGACTCTGATAGCTCATAACAGAATTGTGCAGATTCAGTTTGAGATAGCTCTTAAAAATCAAGAGCAGAAGCGTAAATGGAGTTTTCTTATAAAACAGAATGATCACTATGTTCAAGATATTAAATATTGTGTTTTCTTCTTTTAAATGCTAATTAATGGGCACTGGATTGCTACTATCTGATTTTTTTTTGGCTGCGTGTATGATAAATAGCTCTATAAGTAAGATTTTTCTTTGGTTAGAAACATTCTTTTGCTTTTTATAGCTTGTTCAAGTGCGTATTGATCTTTCTTTGCATTTTAGTAGGATGCTTTTTCTGTTTGGAGTGTGTAAGTTCAGTGTATCTCCATTATGAGCAGCCCTACTGGTCATTGAATCATTGCATTGCAGAAATAATTCACTGTTGACATTTTAAGAAAGTTCCTCTTGAAATGTTGCTTGTGCCTTTTAATCGTAGCAGCAGTGTTTTTATATGGAAAATACGCTTCCCTGCAGCTGCTTTCTGTCTCTCCTCCTCTTCCTCGAGCTTCCTTTCCTCACCAAGACCAGACCACCTTTGCCTTTCTCTCAGCTGCTTCAGAAAACCCCAGGCCAGAGGCGCTTCTAGCGCCGCCGTTGCAGGCAGCTCAGTGTGGAGGTCACCCCGCAGCAGCAGCTTTCTCCCTTTCATAGGTTCCCCGGCCTCATATTTGCTGAGCACGAACTTCAGATTTGGTTTTCCTTTTTTTACGTGTGTATTCAGTTTAATTCTTTCATGTGACTTTTCCCATGTTTTCATTGCTTTTCTTTTCTCTCTTTATTTGATCAGTGTATCTGATTGTACCCATGTCACCAAGATCGCCTCAGTCTCCAAGATCACCAAGTTCTCCTTACTCGCCACAGTCCTCTCACCTGTATAATTTTACTGTACCTGAAATATTCATTTAGCTCCCCTGCCCTGGTGTTTGTACTCTCTAATCCATTTAACTCCCTTTAGATTTTTGTCCTGCTCTGTGTTTACATCTAGTATTCTTTAGCATCCTTATTCTGATTCATTTCTGTTTGTTGTTCTTTAGCTATTCCATCCTTGTGGTTCAGTGGTTAAACTGGAAATGTATATTAGTAGCATTGTATTGCTAGTATTGTGTATTTCTTGATAGAAGAATTTTAAGATGTGGACCTGTTTTAGAAAGTACTCACAAAAAGTGGCTGTCCTGTGTTACTTCTGTCTTTAAAATCTGTTTATTAAACTTCTAAATATGAAAAATAAAACCTGGACAAGAGAGATTTACACAATTTGGCTGCAAAATACTATACTGCATATAAAGGGACAACCGGCTTTGTCCACATTTGATTCATTGCATGCTCATAAGATGACCTGCTATAGCTTGCAAATGTAAAAATGCCTGCAAAAATCAATTGCTAAAATTTGACAGACTATTTACAAAATAGTCAAAAAGTAGTGGCATCACTGTACTAGCTGTTTTAGCAATGCTCATTTTTTGTTTCATCTATTTAAGAAAGTGAATAACTCTTTCAAAATTGCATTAGCTCCTATATGCCTACACCTCCCCATAATTTTCATACTTTATGTAACTCATAAATCATTTGACATTTGCATATTTGTTGCTCCATGCTTCATTGCAGTCAGTCCGAATGTGCTGTCTTCCTTAGGTTACCCCAGCATCCAAGTGGAACTGGAAACTCCCACAGGGTTGCGCTTCGGGCCACCCACCCCTTTGCAGCAGGACGATTTCTTTAGCGACACCTCTAGCGTAGAGTCGCCCCTTAGACCTCCCAGTAGGCTGAGTGACGTGCTAGTAGCTCCGCAGGGAAGCGTAGACGGTGCAGCCCCGGGACCACCAGTGGTGACAGAAGAAGACACCTCCCTGGACGACAGCAAGGCCGATTTCTCAGTGCCTAGAGAAGGATCACCCAGAGATGTTTCCATAGGCCAGAGCCCGCTGGAGGAAGTGGACCTTAAGGATTACCCACGATATCTTGGCAGCTATGCTGGGATAGCAAAAGATGCTAAGCAGATGCAGAGTGAAGAGACTAGTAAAACAGGAGTAAGGACTGAACAGCCTGAGAGAGAGAAGTCTGGTACTGATGAGGAGATGACGGAAGAGAAGCTTAAATCTCTGTTTGAGGACATTCATCTGGAAGAAGGATTTGAGTCTGAGGAGATGACGGAAGAAAAAGTATGGTCAATTCTTAAAGGTGTGCAGCAAGCAGAACAGCAAATGTCTTCAATTACAGGTTGGCAGACTGACTCATCAAGTGTCACGGAGCCGCCGGCTTCAGGACGCAGGATCGGTGCTGGTGCGCCCGAGCGGCCGGATGCGAGGTGAGCAGCCCGCGAGCGCCCGCCGCGCCGCTCCTGCTGCTCCGGGCAGCGCTCACGACCCTCCTGCTGTCGTGGGAGAGCGTGTGTGTGTGTGCATAAATACACACATGTCTATGTGTACATAGATTGTTAGTTTAAATAATATTTCAAAATTGGCTTATATCATATTTTACAGATATTTTTTCCATTCCTGTTCTTTATATTGTGTGTTTTTATTTGGAATGACTGTAAGCAAGACGTAGAAATAACCAGAATTCGGGGCAGTGAGAAGGTGCCGTGTTGGCCGTGCGCCTCGCGCGGCTCCGCGATGGGGGTCCCTCCGGGCGCGCGTCGCCCCCCGGCTCGCGCTGCGCCTGCCGGCCGAGGCCGCGAGCTGGAGCGATGCCCGTCAGCGCGTTGCAGCCCGTGACACCCAGAGCTGTTTCACAGTTCACGGCCTGTAAAACCCACAATGTTTCAAGGCTCCAGGTAGCATTAGGTGCTCTCTCACTGAACTGAATTGGGAACTTTGCCGCTGATGTCAGCAAGCTGGTCCTATTTCAAGAGCAGAGCATGCAGAGATGTTTTTATGCTGTTCTGTGAGGCAAACACTATTTTTCTGTGTTTTGTATTGTGACCTCTAGAGGTCCCTTCCAACCTTAAGCATTCTGTGATTCTATGATTTATAGAAGTAAAGGGCTTCCTTAAGAAGATAACAGATCTACTTATGTGATAACTAGATGAATTTGATGCACTATCTTTTTTAACAGTGCTGTCAGCAAATAGCTATAGGATTTTCATGTGTATAATCTCACTGTTGGTGTGTAAAAGCAGAGCAGAAGTATACAAAAATATGGAAAAGAGCAGTGCATGAGAAGTGCAGGTTAAACTTATGCTTGGGTGATGTGAGGAGACGTTCTGGTCAGTCTTCTGTCTCCTGGTAATCTTCCTTGCCCCTGACACTGTGCGTTACTGATACTTGGGGCTGTCTTGGGCATTATTTTCACATACCAATACTTTTAAAGAGGCACCAGGTTATTTGAACTGCAACCGTTGCAATTTGGGCATCACTGATAATTGCAGGGTGGCAGATTAAACCCAGGCCCGGATATTTTCCTCACCTCTTATTTACAGAACAAGCTAAGGAATTAGAGCCTTGGGGATTTCTCCCATGTGAATATACCAGGGAGTTGGTAGGTTTGCTGTATTTCTCTTTTTTTTTTTTCTTTCCCCCTAAGCGGACAGGAATTAAAACAAGGCATTTGGCCTCGTTTCCAGTGTTCACCCTGTCCTCGTTGCTTCTGAAGAGACCCCACTGAGCAGAATGCAGACCTGTCTGCTTGGTGTTGGCCAGCTGAATTTCAAGTTCAGCTTTGCTGTCTCTGGACAGCACGTGCTAAGAACGAAGGCTGCGTTGACAGGCTCAGCGCCCAGCCCTCGTGCGTGTGGTTTCAGCCCTGAGTTGTTGTCTGTTGTTTTTCTTTTGCAGCCCGGACCAAAGCAGGGATTCTGCTACCTCCCACAGTAAAGGAGAAGCGGGGAAGGTGGAAACAAATGGGAGCCTCTCTGAATCCACAGCGGAGGCAAAAACTAAATCTTATCTCCAAGAATCTATAAACGATGTGAGAAAACAGAGCGACAAAGAAGCCCCCAAAACAAAACCACACATTTTAGCTGGTACCGATGAGCAAACGTTATCATCAACAGCATATCAGAAATCTTTGGAAGAGATGAGCAAGCCAATAACAGATGGCAACAAAACATCTGTGCCTGTCAGCGTGAAGAAGATGAGCTGGAGCACGTCGGAGGATGGCAAGCCGAGAACAAGCACCCAGGAGGAGGAGGCAGCAGTAACGTCTGAGCAGAAGGTACAGTGTGTCCTGCAGTTATTAACTCTCTGAGCAGCCCCCCTCACCTGACAAGAGCTTTTAGCACAACTTGTCATGCTGTTTGATCCTTTTGTGTGCCCGTTTTATTTATTTACTGAAGTAAACAAAAAAAAGGAGAGAGAGAGGAGAGAGGACCTGTCTGCAGTGCAGTGCGCAGAGCGTGAGCGCGATGGGGAGGGGGGAAGAGCCCGGCCCGAGCCCTGTGCCCTGTGCCCGGAGCCCCGGGGGCCCTGGGAGGCTGGGGCAGCCGCTGGGCGCCCTGCGGAGAGCGCAGACACGGAGCGCTGGGGCAGCCCCCTCCCTGCTCCCTGCCCTCAACCCGCTGCTGCCGCCGCTGCTTTGTTTTTGTTAATTTGCAGGAAAGGGAGTCTGTGGTAGAATTTACATTTTGCTCGCTGCTCTCATGCACCTCTGTCCCAAAGTGCATCCAGCCAAGAGGAATCAAAGGGTGCCGAATGCCCCCAGCACTTCTGCACATGATGGGTCTTGCTTTCCAAGAGAGAGGGGCTCCCCTCATTGCTGCCTTGCCTGGCTTGCACATCCTTAACTGTGGGCTCTCAGTTGTAAGTTGCTTCCCAAAGAGGGAAATTTCAATAGTTGCTCAGTAGCTTCCATTTATTCTGCAAGCTTAGAAATAAGATGGGTTCAGAGAGTTGTTTGCAGCCCCGTAGCTGAGGGCAGGTAGGATCGCAGCCGTGGGGCAGGCTGCAGGGCAGCACAGCCAGCGCCTGTGCTCCTCGGGAAGGGACCTGCTGCCTTTCCTGCCCGTTTCTCTGTCCTTCACTGCCATGATGGCCTTTTCCTGGGCATAGGAGATTGCAGCTTCTGCAAATGAGGCATTTCAGAAGAATTGCTTCTGCAAGCTATAGCATTTTTTAATTGTAGCATAATAGAAATTTATCTGCAGTGAGCTGCAATAAATCCCTCAGTTTTAATCTATTCTTTCGATTACACAACCAAGATTTCTTTTCTTAGCCTATAACATATTCAGTCTTTGCAATTATATGGCACATGATTGTTATTCGTTTGTGGCATAGCTAATGCAGTGAAGATCCTTCCTAACAGTAACTAATTACCAGAATACTTTAAAAATGTGAGTAAAAGCTGCGATGAGAAGCAGCTCAAAGGCAGGCAACAGATGTCCATCGTAGTCAGTGGGCTCTGGAGCAGTGCTCGGGTGGGTATTTGTACTCACTTTGACTTTGGGACGTGGGGAGCGGGGCTGTCGTGCCAGGGTCCCGACGGAGCCGGAGGAGGCGTCACCCTCCGCTGTGCTCCGGAGCCCCCTTTGCTGCCCAGCAGCCCACCTGGGTCGTGGGGAGCATCCTGCGCGTGTTTCTCCTTGGCCTGCTTCCACTCTACTGGTACCAAGCGATAATCTAACCTCGCAGATCAGTCATGTTGTAGGCAGGATCTTCTCAAGAGAATGTGATTTCTAAATCTGACAAGCCTGAATGGGTGGAAAAAAAAGTGGAGCTTGTTAGAGAGGAGGCAAGAATTGCTTCTAATACCTTCTGGGTACTTCAAGAATATTTTCTAATCTATTTAGAATAACGAGTTTAATTAATGAAGCAGTCCAAGTCATAGGGAGATACTTAATATGCAGTCATGAAAAAAGGAAGAAAATGTCAACTACCATATTTCTGGAAGGCATTCGGAAATTAACCTGTAAAGAGAGGGTTTTGGAGAAACAAATTAATTTCTGTGGGAAAAAAAAGGGTAACCAAAGGCAATGCTTTACAAAGCAAGAGATTTTTTTCAATGACCCCCTGGGAAAGGGCTGTTGAACCACGAGTCATTCACCTGCAGGCGCGTGTCAGTGCCTTGGCACGCGGTGTGCAGCAACAGCTCAGTCAGAGCATCGGTACGAGGCTGCGGCGGGGCGCGAGCGGAACCGCTGGCCTCCCCGCGGCCAGGAGGATGCCCCAGAGCGGTGCAGAGCCCGCGTGGCGCGCGGTGAGCGACCGCGTGGTTTTCAAGCATCTGCTTCAAGTGACACCTTTTTGTAAACGAGAGGAGCATGGCACTGTTGGTGTTGGCATAGTGTTGCAGAGAAAGGGGTATAACATGGTCGCAGTGACTACAAATGTCACGGTGGTGTCACGGCTGAAACACTTGAAGCTATTTATTAATAGTAGTAACTCTTCCTCCAAAACCTTCGTGCCTCTGGGACTCTCCCCCTGCTTCTTGTCACTTGTTAAGGGTGGGTATCGATTTTTTTTTTTTTTTTTTTTTTTTTTTTTTTTTGTATATAGGTGCTTGGATGATAGCAGAAGAGAGCAGGACACTCTGCAGGCAGGTAGATACCGCCCAGCATATCCTGAGGATCAGTAGAGTTTTTCTGAAATGTTAATTCTTGAGAAAAAAACAGCAAGCAGCTGCAACTTCGTTTAGGGTTTCTGTATACAACACTTTTAACAACTAGTGTAATCCCAAGTAAGATTTAGAAATTCATCTTATCAGACTTGCTCTAAATCTCACTTTTCTAGGACTGAAGAGCCCAAAGATGGCATGTTGCCAACCTACAGCAAAAAGGCTGTACTTTAGTACATGGCTGCACCATGTACTTAAATGTACATAACTGCTGTTATGTACGTAACAGCAGCATCATGTACCTAATGTAGACAGGAAAAAATATTGACCACGATAAACTTTGTTTCCTACTTGTACTCATTCTTGGTGTCTTGTGTCTTTTAAACGTGCTGTTCAAATGTACTATAACTGCGTTTATTAGGAATATAGTGACAGTGACAGTGAGATTCAGAGTGACTCGAGCTCAGAGGAGGAGCAGAGAATTACCACGAGAGTTTATCGACGGCGTTTGATACTGAAGGTATTCTGAGGTTTGCATTCCTCAGGCGATACTGGCATGGCCTTGGGGTTTGATGCTGTGTGAGGACGTCGGTCCTGGTGTGACGGAGCCCCCCGGCCGCGCGCTTTCCCGTGCCGACGCGTACGGGTAACTGAATGCTAGGTGCTCCTTCCGCTTAACCTCTGGGTTTGTGTCGTCTCCTGCGGGAAGACAAGGGTGCTGCATGGCGTGTTGTATCCCTCACTCCCACCGTTTTGCATGGCATCTCAAATACACGGTCCTCCTGTATCCACAGCAGCTGGATAAGGGTGTTGGATAAGGTAAGACCCATAGCTAGATGCAGTGGGTTCACTGCATCTATAAAAGAACAAAAGTAATTGCAGACAGAAGTGGGTGATTAAATGTTTTCATTCTTTCCAAAATGCCAGCTAAAGCAATGCAGGCATGCATGTGAGTGGATTGAGGAG